GGGCAAAATTATGCTCATTCACAAGATACAGTGATCCAGTGAAAGAAGATTAGACACATGCAGGAAGATTAAGGCTATCCATGGCTACTAGTTAGGACAGCTGTATGCTAGCTCCACTATACACCAATTGCTTGAGAACGCAAGCATATGGTGCTGTTGCACTCTTGTTCTGCGTGTGTCTTTCCCAGACAACTCTTTGGCCACTGTATGAACAGAATGCTGGAATGAGTAAAAATCCATCAGGGTTCCCACCCTTTCTGCACAGGGGGAATAACACTTTGCTCATAGGTGTAATACATATATGAGCAGAAGGATCTCTCTTTCACCCTAACCCACCTGCACAGGTGCTGTGTTAATATCAAAGCAGCCGAGATGATTTTGAGATCAGCATGCTCAAAGCAATTATGTTGCCTTTCCAGCCCAGGCTAGGTTTGGTCATGCATCCTGTCACTGCTAAAAACAACCCTCTGTGGTTGAATGAGGACATGTGTGGTCTCTGTAAGTGTGCCCCAGAGGAGTCATCTTCGCTATGACTCACTGTGAGAGAGTCGTCCGCACAAGATCAGCCGTTTTATTCATAAGTACCCCCGTCCACAGTGATTAGCAGCAGTTTCATTGTGTGTATTGCATGGGCTTTACTGGAATGGCAAGGAAATGAAGGTTCAACAGTGTCCAAAAGCCAGGGCAATTTCTTGAAGGCATGCCAAGGCCTTAAGGCCATCAGCTTGCTAGGAGGAGCACCAGAAATCATTACCTTGAAGCTGTCTTCCTCAATCATGCTGCATATAAGGGCTGCCTTTGCTGAGAGAACAAAATGGTTTGCCTTGCTGAAACAGCTTTGCTCCCAGGAAGTGGGGTGAGCGCCTGTGTGCAGACTGACAAACTCTGCCATCATGGCGGAGAAACGTCCTAAAATCCACAGCCAGAGGCAGTCTTTCATTCTCTGCCTGGGGAAGAGAATGGCTGTGTCCCACACCCGAGCAACTTTGGCCCATAGAGGATCCCCAGCCCATACAGGGAACCAATGCAGCCAGAGAAATATATATCCATATTCGGTACGCTGCACATCATTCCTGACACAAATATCCTTGAGTCTAAAGTGAGATGGCTTGGCTAGATCAGCCTCAAGAGTTAAAATGTGGCACATAGAATAAATACTTGCAGGACCGCATGAAGTAATTCCAAGCACACAAACTTTTCCCTTCTCCACCCCAAGCCATCAACCAAAGGGCACATGCACACACAAAATGAAATAATACCTAGTGCTTAGTCAGATGATCCTAGAGAAACAAAGCTGAATGCATTTTAGGTAAATTTGTGAACGCCTGGCCTTAGCGGGAGACAATCCTGCTGAAAAGGCAAGGAAATTGTTGTCAATATTTTTAGGAACAATTGCAGGCTGTGTGCTGAAGAAGCAAAACAAGTTCTGGATAAAAGGAAAATAATCCTGAAGATTGGGGATAGTTGGACAAAAGGTATTCAAAGCCTAGGCAGAAGTATGAATACGACTCACGGATTAGAATTTTACAGGGAAAGTGCCCAGTTGGGTTAAGTTTAAAGCCTTGCAATATATATTAAAACACAAAATACATCAGGCATGGGAGAGGCAAAGTCTTTGACTGCTTTTTTCTAACACCTGCATAAGATTCTCTCCTAAATGGTCACCCCTGAGATGGGCTTCTCCAGATACCAATCCCCTCACCACCACTTTGCTTTCCTATCACTGGCAAGACAAGCCTTCAAGTAAGGCTTGGGGGAGGCACTTTGCTTACTTTCCAGCCTCTCTCCTCTGTATGTTGCTCCACTAAGCACTCGTTTTCAGTGAATGGTGGGGAAACCAGGATACTTCACTGTCAGACATCAAGCAGGGAGAAGCCATTGATCTGTGAAGATATTTTGGCTGTTCAGAAGCTTGTCGTTTAGACTGAAATAAAGGCCCAAGTTTTAGCAAAGCTGGACACACTTCAGCTGTTCTTTCCCACTTGATGGAACAAAGAATATATGTGTGTGCCTTCTTTTAACGAAAAGTAATTGGTGTCATGGTAAATACATGTGTGCTCCCGCTCATGCCCACAAAGCAAATTATACCCTCCATGGCTAAGTCTGTGCTTGAAATAGCACAGGATGTAAAACTAAAGTCTGAATGTGCTGCTGTTATGAAAATGAATGCAAGGTTTGGAAAATGACCTGAGAAGAAAATAGTGAGACAAAAGAGAGAAGTACAATGCCAGCCTCCCCTTTAAAATACACTATGGGATAAGTGCACAGGGGAGATACCAGTAGGGATGTGGGGCAGGGTTCAGCAGCAGCAGAAGACTTAACTAGCAGCTTCAATTTTTAACTGAGTTATCAGTCTGGGCTTTTATTACTGAAAGCACTGAGAAATCTTTAAAGGAAATATAAATATAAATTGATAAGAATTTTATAGTTTTGAGATATGTAAGCCTCCTCAAACATTTGTTTAATTCAGGGGTGGGCACTCTGTGGTCTTTGGTCTAATTCTAAGAACCTTCTGCAGATTATCCATCCCTTTCCTGAGAGTCTTCTTCTTGGGAAGGAAGAGTGAGTGGGAGAGAGAATATTCATGTCAGAAACAGAAAATAAGTGATCTACCTGGCTCTGGCACTGTGCACTTCCTGCTGCCAGCTGGCAGCACCCAACAGGAAAAAGGGTGCCCAACAGTTTTAAATCCAGATAGCAACTATGGATATATGAGAATTATCATCACCCCAACAGGTGGGAAGTGGGACTTTAATTCTTCCCTCACTCTGTTATGGTTGAAGAACATTGCTCATCTGAAACTATTTACTTTGCAAAACAATTCCTTTTTAGATGCACATTAAATGCAAGTGCATTTAAATGTCATGTCTTGTTGGCCCTTAGATTAGATGACAACCCAATAAAAACTAAGTGATAGTAGAAAAAATATTGAAGCACTGAAAATATAACTGAACCCAAAATAATGTAAAACATATTGTTAAAACTCACTTAGGATTCCAAGCTACTAAATGCTTGCTCAAGCAAAGAAGGAGAAGAATACCAAGGCTGAGAATAAACCAAACACAGTGCTTCCCAAAACACACTTTAGACATTTTTACACATGAGGGGGAAAAAAAGAAAAATGATCAGAAGTCAATTTTTTAAGGATGTATAAAAACAGAAAGGTTCCTCCTTCTGGAAACTGCTGCCTGAAGCAACTACTTTTTAATTAATTGATTGATTGATTTTTATGCTGCTCAAGGCTCTCTGAGTGGTTAACAAAAATTTGTTTAAAAATTAAAGCATGCACACAAGATAAAATTAACTTAAAACAACAAAACCACATGAGCAATTGAAATTCAATCAGCACAGAAGCATGGGAACAGTGCAGAATAAAATATTTAAAAAATTGAAGTTAATTAACTGTTAAAATGCTTGGAGAATAAAAAGGTCTTTATCTGGGGCCAACAACAATACAAAGGAGGCAATGGGCACACCACCTTGGGGAGCTCTACATATACTTCATATAGATTTATGATACAGCCAGCATGGATGCCCTTCCCCATGCCTTTCTTTTAGTGTCACACAGAGGGTATGCTATTGGAGAATACTCTTGCTCTGCAAGAAAAGAAGGCAAGCACTAAGTTAGGTAGGGACCAGAAACACTGAATTGTACCCAGAAGACACCTGAAGGATTGATCACATATTCACCATCCAACTAAACTACTTCATGTTTCAAAGTACATTGTATGCATTGATTCAGTAAAATTGTCTAGACCAGTTTCAATAGTAAACACTGACTTAACTGCCCATCAGCTTTTTCAATGAACATATGGGGTGGGCCAAAAGTAGGGATACAGTACTGATTGGGTGATATATAAAATCTTAGGTGCTTGAAATGCCTGTATAGTCGAGGCTATGAGTTTTCCAGTTGCAATGTATGGCTGTGAAAGCTGGACCATAAGGATGGCTGAGTGCTGAAGAACTGAGGCCTTTGAACTGTGCTGCTGGAGAGGACTCCTGAGATTCCCTTGGACTGCAAGGCGATCAAACCAGTCAGTCCTAGAGGAGATCAACCCTGACTGCTCTTTAGAAGGCCAGATCCTGAAGATGAAACTCAAATACTTTGATCACCTAATGAGAAGGAAGGACTCAGAAAAGACCCTGATGCTGGGAACAATTGATGGCAAAAAAAGAGGACAGCAGAGAATGAGGTGGCTAGATGGAGCCACTGAAGCAGTCGGTGTGAGCTTAAGTGGACTCTGGGCGATGGTAGAGGACAGGAGAGCCTGGAGGAATCTTGTCTATGGGGTCATGATGGGTTGGATATGACTTCGCAACTAACATAACATAACCCATGTCAACAAACGTTTGTGAGATGAACTCCTTCAATTTGTCTAATGTATGAGGTCCTCCACTGACTCTATCGATACTGTATATCTACTTTTGGACTATTCTTTATACTAAGGGGAACTGAAAGAGGAAGGACCACAGATTTGAGAGGCAAGAAAACCCAGTTAGGTAGGTTTGAGCAGCTTACTCACACAACCATTCTTTAAGTGAAAGATTCTTCACAGATGGACTGATCAAAAAGATAAATCAGACATAAAAAAATTGGTTAGATTACAATCAGAGCTGTCAATAAAATGGAAGTCATTTATGTAGCTTCCAATTAGTCCTCAAGGAGGGAGACAAAGCAAAGGAACGGATCATCAGTTTGCCAAACAGGGAACAAGAAAATGAGAAGTGGTATGTGCAGACCTGCCAATAGTTATGTTAAGGCTAACGGCAAGGTATCCATCTTGTTTCTTGCACAAAGACAAGCAGAGGAAATAGAACAAGAGTGCATGTATAAAGAAGTGCTATAAGTCTCACCCAGAGTTCAAATGTTATTGCTATCCAGAAAAAACATGTTTTACTCTCTTAGGAAACCAGGCTTCCTCACAAGTCTAAGCTTTAAATCATCTGCACAAATCAGACATCATGTTTTAACTTAGTAAATAATTCATTTGTATATAGTCTTCTGCTTGGCCATTAATATTTATTTACTATATACTTTGGAGCTCAGAACAATCACTTAAAAATTATTCAGGAGAGAATCAATTAAGAGCAGCTAACAGTATATCAAAGAAAGAATACTGCAAAAAGAATTTGAAGGTTCAGTTACTGGTATAATTACTTAGCTACCCAACCTTGAAGATTTGTTCAAACAATACGAAAGGAGACAGCACAGTCCACACAAGGGTTTTTTTTTGGGGGGGGGGAAGTAGGACGAATGCATGTTCTTTTGTTCTCAGAGATGCATCCTCAGAAACCTGCTGTCCAGTGGACCCATGAAAATGGTGGAAGATGTTGAAGGCATCTCATTCAGTAAGATTAAGTTCCTGTAAACAAAAGGAAAGCCTAGCAAGATCCCTTCCCATCTGAGAGGAGAGAATGAACCTTTTCCTTCTGCTTAGGGAAACGGGCACTTAGTAACCTTTTCTCCAGAGGGCTCAAAAGAGGAGCAGAAGGTGCTGGTATTGGTTCTCTCACTAAGATGAATCTCCTGCAGGGAAAGGAAAAGACAGATGATCACTTGGTATTCTTTGAAAAGGGAATTGGTTTCAATGAAAAGCTTGGAATATTGGATGGTAATGTAGGAGAAACATAGTATCAAAAGCAAACCCAGGGAAAATATAATGGGGGACTTGTGGTGGTGAATTGGACAACTCAGTACTGCTGAGGCCAGATACCACTGAAGTTCAGTGGCAGCACCAACCATTTAGCATTTGCTGATGCCATCAACTCCTATTGCTGCAGCTGCTTTCTTCCCTTCCACCAATACTTGCCTGGTGCTGGCTGCTGTAACGCAAGGGTCCTTTGCAAAGCTTCCAACCTGACCTGACATTGGCAACCCTGAAGCTGCATGATTGTGGTCAGCAAAGACATAGGAGATGTATTCTTCTAGGGCTCTGGAGTGTTTCATATGGATGTCAGATTGTCAGTTATGTGTCCCAAGGTTCCTTGCAACTGAGAAGCTGACTTGTGACAGCACTGCAAAACCTCCTGCAAGACAATCTTGTTGTCGTCACAACCAATAGAAAGGAAGCAGGGCTGGAGCAAAGTTTGGGCCTTCTGTTCTCTCAGTGTTGGGAATAAAATAGGACAGACATTATAAAATTAGGCTTAGGGGGAAAAAACCCTTTCCATTTTTTAAATAATGTAACTGAGTTCATTCCAAACTGAACTGGAAATTTGCTCATCATAAATTACTAGCACAAGTGCTAATATTATTTTAGTAAAATGAACTAAAGCTATGGGTGGAGAACCTATGCTGGTCCCACAGACAGATTTTTGCCTCTACCAGACCATGTCAGTGGTAAGGGGGAGTGGTATGCAGGGGAAGCTGCATGTAATCTCCAATCACAAATTCAAGATTACAAGGGAATCCTTCTTCTCATCTCCTCCTCCTTAAGTCCCAGTAGCTCCAGGCCAGCAGCCAGGGCTTGTGGGGGCCCATGGAAGGTGACTAATCCTAACAAATTAGGCTCATGTGTCGGAGGTTCCCTGCCTCTAGAGTAGACATTATGAGAAATTATATTTCATCATTACAACAGAACAAGAATGACTCCCATTTAAGAGTAATATAGCAGTAGAGAAGTAACAAACAGTAGATGAGGAACAAACCTCAAACTAGTACTGCTAGGAAAAATAACTCTTATGTTTTTCATTTTTTCTGGCACTGTGCTCCTTTTTCTCACCACTACAGAAACTCAATGTGCCCATTAATAAGTTGTTTTTAAATTGTTAATTATACTACAACAGTGGTCAAATTACTCGTATCACCTATTAAATAAACCCCAGAAGCTCTGAATGCTTCTGCACATGTATGGAAACATTCAAGGCCACACTGAGAGTGGGGACTATTGAAAATGCCAAGAAATTTTAAACAAACCACAAATATGAGGATGAGATCATGCTTTTCTCAGTGTCTAGCTAAGATGACTCTACTGGAAAGTTGGTGCAGGAATAATCCTACCTGCATGAAAGAACCTCTAGATCCTACAAAGGTCTAGTGGAGCATTTGATCCTACTGTCTTTGTGGTGGTTTTATCAAGGGTCTGTAAGGTCTGGCATTATAAAAGGCCTCCTAGTACTTGGTGCAACCTGATGCTTTTGATGAACATCCACAGAGATTTGTGGTGGATTCTATCTTGCAGGCTAGTTCCTTTTTCCATAGCTGCACTTTTAAGCAGCAACGTTAAAAATAATAATGTAATACCATTACTTAAAAGAATTCAGCAAGCTAGCACCTCAGTCCTATTACCTAATGCATTCCTAAACACAAATCATCCACAATTAATCCTCTACTTGCTTAAAAATCTACTAAACCTTTGAAAAATTGTAAAAGAATGATCAAGCTGAAAATAAAAGTTCTTTCTACTTTTACAGGAATCCATGAAATGAAAATGCAATGCTAACTTCAGACTGTAGTAAGAGTGATAATAATGTTCACCATGAAGTGAAAGGAAAAACAAAATAGTAGATGCTTGTTGGCATAAAAATGACGTGTCTTCCTAGCATACCCTTTCTCTGGGATTGATTTTGATCGTTGCAGACTCCTCTCTACAGGCAAGTTGCTTATTTTGTGTTGCTTGCTGAACTCCATCTTGGGGTGATACAGCTTTATGTCCAGATCCTTAGTTGTTGGTGTTCCCCAAGCCAGCCTATGAATATAAAAATTACACTGATTTCTAAAATAATGCAGATAGGAAAATTTCAGCAGCTTTGTTTATTAAGATATAGATGAATTTACTAAAAACCTACACGTTCTAGGTCTCAGGTGCAATCCCATACGTATCTGAGACCAAGCCCAATCACTACAGTGAGAGATACTTCCAAGTAAACATTTACAGGATTAGATTCAGAATATTTCTGCATGATAAGGCAAAGTATGCAAGAAATTCATTTTATTGTTTGCATAATACTCTCATAGGTTCCAATGCAGCAATAATAATATAGTATCCTCTCTGTATATTACAGATAGGCTGGACGGGATAGTCAGCCACTAGTGGGTCAAAACAAGGATTTTTTTATGCCATTGCCTTGCCAAACTCATGGATTTTTACTGGGCACCCAACTGTCACTGATCTAGTATAGACATCATGGTAGCCCGAACAGTCAAGGGATGTGTGTGGGTTGACCGTGGGTTGTTGCTGAATCATAGGTTGTTGTTGCAACAAGGATGCTGTCTGAACTCAGCCAAGATAATAAAGCATGGTAAACAGCTCACAGTTAAGAACCCAACAACCACCCCTGGCTTTTCTTTTTTAGTGGATCATACTTAGTAAGCCATGGTTTATTAATATAGAGGGGACCAGACAACAATAACCCATGAATCAACAGCAATCCTTGGTTCAAAAATAATCATCACTCAGTCTTTTAATGTGCATAAATGTGCCCAACCTATGGAATGCGCTCCCCAGAGAGGTCCACCTGGCGCCATCGTTATTTTCTTTTTGGCACCAGGCCAAGACCTTTATATTTAAATGTCATTTTAATTGTTAATATTATTTATTGATTTTGTATCTTTGGCCAGGACGTCTCCAATTATATTGTTTTCTATGGTTAATTGTGTATTTATTGATTTATTGTTGTGAGCCGCCCTGAGGCTTCGGCAAATGGGGCGACATAGAAGTTTGCTAAATAAAATAATAAAATAAAGTAAAATAAATGTGCTGTCTGAATCAAATATTTATCTTTCATTTGTAATCTTCCTGTGTTTACCTTGTTCTTCCATCTTTTTTCTGACCAAAATAAATCGGTAAAGGTGAGAAAGGGGCTATAGACCTAGGAATTTTCCATCTGAAAGTAGTTGTGCTGTCCTCTGCTTCTTTAAATGTATCCTAATGTACATACCACAAGAAAAGGCTGATTCTGTGACTTTCAGAAAATTTGGACAAGCATAAAGCCCATCACTCCTGCTGCGCTGGTCACAAGCGGGAAGGGGGGGGGGAGCTGCTCCAAGGTGAGAGTCCCAGCTGACCTCAGAGCATGTTTCCAAGGTAGGAAATGAGGTTCTGATGTATCCATGACTGTCTAGACTGCCTGGTAGCCATAGGCTTGTATCCTAAGAATAATTAAGCTTAAACAATGCAGCATTGTCTAAAAAAATATGTTTCATTTACCTGTAAGGGAAATCTCTAGGAAGATTGATGGTAGTTTCTTCCATCACAGTGTAAGGACGGCGGGGAGGTTGTTTGTAAGGCTTCATCCAGGTAAGCAAAGTTTCAGGAAAGTTTTCAGAAGATTCTAGATTCAGATCTGGGTAACCAGGGAAAAGGAAAAGAACCTCTTAAGGTACTCAAGAATGCTTTCAAGATGTGTTAAACTTACTCAAACTCAAATAATCTTAGATGGACCTTAAACTTAACAAACTTTAACAAACTTTAACAAACCAGGTATATTCAAGGACACTAAGTTATAGTGATATAACTTGGGTGAATATAACTGACCTTGGTCAATATAAATGACCATTTTCAACAAATGATTCCAATAGAGATGAAGACTCAGAAGCTGTGTAAGTGGCAGGGCCAAATCTAGATAATAACAAGTATTGCCATTCAACCATAGCAGGCAATCTGTATTTGGCACACAAAGTCAAAATGAACAAAAACTCATACTCAGAACCCACTTTATAAAGATGTCAGTCTATCTGTATTAAGTAAGATTTCATTGATAAATTTATTCAAATTGAGCTTGACCATTTGAGATTTTAAAAAAGTATTTGAAATAAGTTAGAAGATCCCAGAGACCATCAAACAGAAGCTATCTGCTTAGATCAAGGATGACCACTTTTCAGTTTGCTGGAGAGCCATGTGTACATGCACAGAGGTACTAGTGGGGTATGTAATTTCTTTACCAGCACAATGTGGAGAATGCTTTTCTACTCATAAATAAGCAGTCCCAAGAGCAGCATGTCTATTCACAAGCTGTGTGAACTTCTGCATGTTTCCTCAGAAGTAAACAGGACAAGCCTAAGAAGTAAGCATGACTAAATCACTCAGATGCTGCTGCTTCTCCCCACAGTGAAAATCCTCTTTTCCAATAAGTAGGTAAGCAGAAATAAGAGGTATTCCCTGTGAAAGTCAAAGCATTGGCGATATCAGACTTTCCTTGCTGGAAGACCTGGAAAGGTTTGTGTAAAACAACTGGGCTAACATAAAAGTAGGTGAGGTACTTCTGGTTTTGTGGACCCACATCAGGAGTGGCTGAAGGCTTTGTTTTATACACCTTTGGACTTAAATTGTATTTGTCCTAACATGACAAATAGGAGCTGTGTGAATTGACCTCAAGAGTTATTACAACCAGAGCTATATTGTCAGTGTGGAACATCTGGATCTCATTTAGACATGATACTGGATGAACAAAAGAAATTACCTCTGCAGCTCAGCACATTGCTTGCTGAGCTAGCATGCTCATTATAAGCACACATCTGTACCATGCTTACACTTAATATACCACATGCAAGGTTACACAGAAGTTTAAGCAAGGTGCCAAGTGCATGCAGTGCTGTGTGGGCAGGTTTTCAATGCCTGCTAGACATCGCATTTAAATCTAACATGATGGTGCAGCATATGATATCCTGGATAAGAACTCACATGTTTTCAAGTAAAATGCTATACCTGACAAATATTATGACTATTTACAGCCTCAGGGAATTAAAGCTTTTTTTAACGCTTGTAATGTAAATTATTAAGATAGTTTTTGCAGGCATTAGTGAAGATGAGTAATCTACTGCTTTGTTTATTTTAAAATGCATCTTGTAGCCTAACCTTACCAATAATTACTCAACTAACCCAAGTCATCCTGCTCACATTATTAGTTTCACATGTACAAACTGTACCTACAGGTAACACAACTATACTTTATCAGTCAAATAGTTTGCATTTCTGCTTTGTGGTACAATGTTATGTAAGCATAAAAGCACTGCCAACTGAGGGAATGTTTATTTTAATTAGAAAATCTATTTTGTTGATATCACCTATTTATGGTGATTTGGAAAGGGATTGTACCAGACTTAAAATAGCCTGTACAGTAATTATATAGAATTGAAGAAAGGCCTCTGAATGGCAGGATTCACTCCATCCCAAATGCATACCTCATATGTAAACCACATGTTCAGCCTTTCTTGTCATTTAGAAGGCATCATCAAATAAACCAGGGCTAAGAGTATGCTGGCAATGAATGAATCATAATTTCAAAATGCAATTTGTCTTTTATGTAGTCTAGATTTAAGCAACAAAGAAAAGCAGAGAGCAGAATCTTGCAGAAATAAGCTTTTTTTGACCCCTCATTAGACATTTCTTTGTTCTTAACTCATGTAACATACCTCTTAGTTTATTTATTCATCCAAAAATGTAGTGCCAGGGGTGCAATCCTGCAAGGCTCGCATGCACAGAGCTGCATGTGGACCTGCTCTATATGAGTCACTAGAACTACCAACTCTTCCCCCAGGCCACCACAGCAGCCATACCTGGAGTATCTATGTAAACACAGCAGGCTGCCAGAGCTCACAGGACCATTCTCCCTTTTTCTCAATCGTGGTGGAGAGCTGGCCCACTGATATCACAGCAGAGCACCATACATTTATTAACTCATCTGGCAGATTCCACAAATGTGGTCAATCAGGAAAGAGAAGTTGGAGCCAGAGAATGAGACTAGGCTATTTAAATGGCTGGTGGCATGAGGAAAGGTGGAAGTGAAACAAAGGGATGAGCCAACAGAGAAGTGGGAGGGAAACTGCAAAGGTGAAATGAGGAGTAGGGAGGAAACATCAACAGTAGTTGGAAGAGGAAGGGGAAATGTGGAAAACAGGATAAGCCAAGGAGTCTGAACCAGAGAGAAGAAAGATGTGTCAAGAGAAATACTGATTTATATTTACAATTATTTTATTTATCTGAAGTACTTCTACCCCACTCCTTGGAGCAGCTTAGAATCAGTTAATAAAACAAGGCAGTCCCCTATTCTCAGGCTTGCAATATAAAAAATATATGACACAAAAGGGAAATAGGATGGGGAGCAAAGGAAGAAAAAGTTAAGAAAACTTTCAGCAGAACTGCTGGAAAGGCCCTGCTTACCCCCTCATTTCCTAGAGTAGGGGGCAGGGGAAAGGTCCAACTGGAGTAAGCTTGAAGGCCTGATGTTCGCTTTGCCTGCCCTTCTTTCCCATAGGGAAATGAGGTGCCCAGAACTGGACACAGTACTCAAGATGGAACCTAACTAATGCTGAATAGAAGGGAACAGAACTTCATGTGATTTGGAAGCTACACTTCTATTAATGCAGTTCAATATAGCATTAGCTTTTTTTTGCAATCATGGCACATTCTTGTTTGTAACCTGGGGACTTATACATGCAGTCCGCAGGTTACAAACAAGTTCCTGAGAAAACAGAATTTAATCTTTAAGTCAAATTATCATATAAGTTGGATCACATACAGTAGGCCATCAATGTTTGCAGGGGGTTAGGGGTGCAGGACTCCATGAAAGTGGAAAAAATGGAACCCTAACCCTAACCAAACACAACCTTTTATTCCTTGACATTTGTTTTGATCCAGATGCTCTTGATGGGGCAAACTGGCTCATTTTCTGTGCAAAAATTCATAAACTAAAAGCCAGGTCGCATTACCAGTGTGAGTATTTAAGGACATAGGAAGCTGCCTTATACTGGGACAAACCACCGGTCCATCTAGCTCAGGTTTGCCTATAGCAGGAGTGGAGTACAACAAGCTTCTGGGCCTGATGCAGACTGCAGGGCTTACTCTCTTAGCACTTCCTGCTCTGCCGACACAGCAATTAGGGTTTTAAAAAAGCCTCTGTTGGTGCCAGTGGAGTCTACACAAGGCCTAATTGCCATGGGAGGCATTTTAGAAGGGCTTGCTTCTGGAAGTAGCTCCCTCCCCACAAAGACGCTACAAACTGGCATACTCTCTCCAGGCTTTAAGATAAGGATACATTCAAGCTTTATCTGGAGATGTCAGGAACTGAACCTAGGACTTCTTGCTTGTAAAGCAGATTCTCTAAGCTCTCTGTACAGATTCCCACAATCACTGCACAACCAGCAGGGCACTTAAGTGGATGTCAGATCAGTAAGAAGCCATTCATTCTAAACTGCTCCAAATCTTCCATACTCCTCTACTACCTCAGCACTAAGGAATGCTATATAGATGGGTATCTCTTAAACCTTTTGAATTTATCTGTGAGGTTAATAGAACTGTAATGAAGGTGTCTTCTCTAAATGCCACATTATTGCAGCTTAAAGGAAAGCTCATGGAGATTATTAATTCAAGTACACCTCTTGGTGCAAGTGGGCCAACTGAACCATAGTTTTTAGGCAGACCAAGATGTGGAAAACCAACTGAGGAATTTCTTAAACAGCAAGTTACATTAATTCCTAAAATAATACAGAGAGAAGAATTCTTAAAAGTAGAAACTCTAAAAGCCAACAATGTAATTCAAAGGATCTCAGCAACAGTGCTAGAATATTAAGGTATAATCCTATCCACGTTTAAATAAAAAGGGTCCTACAAATCCCATAATGGCTGCCTGGGGATCCTGGAAGTTGTAAGACTTTTTATTATTTTGTTCTTAAGAAGTCAACTCATGGATTAAATCCCAACTATTTGTCCATTCTAAATAGGATTTCAAAGAAAACAGTTTTATCAATTGTGTAAGGAAATGGAAAGCCTTATCCACAGGTCATGCCTTATGTTTCCAAGTCCTACATTTAAAGACTAGTGTGCTGCAAAAACAAACTTACATTGCTGAGAGTTGTTAGGTGTGAAACAGTGGTTCCGAGAGCACAGCTTTTGCTTAAGTTGTTGCATCACATGCCGTTCCTCAACTTGCTGAATGTGTTCTTTCTGTTTCCTCCTCCAGGCCACAACCCTAAACAAAGGGCAATGTGACATACTGTTGAAAATTTAATTTGGATGTTTTACAGTATCATTAATTTCAAACTGTTTTTCATTTGTGACAGATGATTTATAGGCAATGTCCAGGGTGATCTTGAGATGGAAAAAAGGAAATCAAGAATGTATCCAGAACTAGGGGAAGGAGGGCATCATTTCTGAAGAAGAGAGGAATTATCCCTTTGAAAAGTGTCATAGTGCTCTCTGTACATCAAAAAAGGCATACTGTCAAACAGAATAGAAAACCTAAATGGAGCAGAATCTTCCACATAAGGCCTGCTGGTGACAATATCAGACTCCAAAAACCAATTTATTACAAGGAACATAGTAATATGTTCAAGACCAGAAAGCTCAGGGTGATCTTGAGGTAGCAAAATCAGGGAGGCTTCCAAACAAGGAAGTGTTGTAATAATTGGTGAGTTCAAATACTCCCACACTGACTAAATGAATCCATGTTCCAGGATCAACAAAGAGGTTAAATTTTCTGATGTACTGAATGAATGTGACTTAGAACAGGTCATGGAATAAACCAGAGGGAAGGTGATCCTGGATTTAATCCTAACTGGTGTCATTCAGGATCTAGTATGAGATGTAAATGTTGAACCAGTTGGAAATAGTGATCACAGTGCTATCAAAATTAATTTATGAGTGGAAAATTATCAAATAATTCCAACACAGTCATATTTGACTACAATAGAGGAAACTTCTCAAATGAAGGCAATGGAAAAAAGGAAGGCTGAATAACATTAAGGAACATTTAGTTCAGAATGAATTACATCTAAAAGATGAGGGTGAAAATGCTTTTGATTGCCCAAATGGAAATGAGGTAGAAATAGACCACAAGCATATAGTATAATATGACAGGCAGTCAAATATAACAAAAGGGAAAATGCATATGCCAGAGACATTTGGAAAGCAACATCATGAATAGCTATTTTTAAGCTAATGCTAGAAGACTCTGAGCCAAACTGGAGGAATCTGAAAGTTGAATTTTGAGGAGAACATAAATATAGTAGAAACTTGATGAAATGAACAGAACCAGGGAGGTTTAGTCATGTCTGGATGCAACTCCTATAACATGGATAAGGAATGAGTTTATTGTGTGTGGTGTGTCTTTGAATGCGAAAGTGACTGTAGTGCTGAACAAAATAGATACCTCAAAAAGAGGCAAACATATCCACTGATTCCTTTTGAGTAACAAGACCAGGGTCAAGAAAGTAATTTAGTACTTCCAATCACCACTGTGTCCAAAATGTTTAAGTTAGTCCTGAGGTAAAAAGTGAAATCAGGGAGTCATCCAAAGGAGAAAACATTGCAGTAACTTGTAACTTCAATTAGTTTTATATAATTGGGTAAATGCATGTTCTGGTCAAGAGAAAGAGATACATACTTTTAGATATTATAAACAAATGCACCCTAAGTCATGGAGCAGAGGAAACTTCTAAAACATGAGACAGTTGTTAAAAGTGAATTTGAAAGCGAAGTCCACTGGATCATCTCTCTCTAAAATGTTGGGGGGTTATTCAAAATCACAATAAAAGAGACACACCTAGTATGTATGCCACATCTTATTTGTGGGCTTCCCACAGGTAGTCACTACAGAAAAAGTATATAGGATTAGGTACATCTTTGGTCTGATCCAGCACATCTATTTTTATATTCTTATACTTGAAAAGTATAGAAATCAAAATTAATGATAATTGTGCTGTGAACTTTGCAACCCATATATAAACACTGTCAGTTATGAGAAGAAATTAGATCTTGCACAGTTTTTATTTTCACTGTCACTTATTTCACAAAAAGTTGGACTTAGAATCTTGAAAAAGAAGCTATAGATTAAAATAGGACCATAGTCTTGGAACTTTCTTCCCAAAAAACGGTGCCATAATCCATCATTGCTAAACTTTAAGAGGCATGAAGCTTTAAAAAAACTTTTACCATGCATTTTGCTCCTGATATTTGTGTGCTACTTTATTAGTTTTTATTTCTGTGCTTTTAATTAGTATACTTTGTGCCTTTTAATTAGTGGTTTAATATGCTTGTGTTTTATGTTTTAGTGTGAACCTCATCAAGCATATTGTAGGAGAAAAAGCAAGTTTTGACATTTAAAAATAAATTAGTTATCTGTACCTTATGATATCCTTTTCATGTGGAGACTCATATCCTTCATTTCCATCTTGATCATTCTTCTTTCCTGAAGGAGGCCTATGAAGAAAATTAATCATAAACACATTTAAATCAAGTCTTAAAATATCAGTGCTTTAAATAACAGCAAAAATTCCCTCTTGGGAATTTGGTTTATTTATATTAATTCATAAGCAACTCTTATTTGCAAAATGGATTGAATATAATATATAAGAAACATATTTCAATATCTTTCCCAGTTATATATGCATTATACAGTTCAGTAATTATTCTGAAGTATTATGCGTCTTCTACTTGCCTTTTAATTTAACTTGTCTTTATTTTCAAAAGCAGCTTTTTCTTGAGTGATGATTGTTGATGATCATAATTAAATTGTTTCATGCATGAACTTACTCATATTATAGAACCTTTCAGAACTTGCCAAAGTTTCAAACAATGTGAGAACCTATGTCAATGTCATGTGGTGGTTAGATTACCCAACTGGGCACACAGAAGATCAGGGTTCTAGTTCCCATTTGGCCATGAAGCTCACTGGGTAACTTTGGGTCAATCTCTCATTCTCAGCCCAACCTACATCACGGGGCTGTTGTGGTGAGGATAAATTGATCTACATAAGCTTCCTTGGGTTCCTCACAAGAGGGGGGAAAGCACTATATAAATGCATCATCATCATAATTATTAACCAAAATATCTCAGTGTCAACCAAATGACTTTAAATAATGACTGCACTTCAGGCCCATTTCCAACATTAACCAGTGAAGCATCACTATATCATTTACTACAGCATAGGTATACGTGTCAACAGCAAAGCCTGTGACAAAATCATTTTTGACATTGCATACATAATAGGCTGACAGTCAAAAAAATGGGTTGAGGGGGCTTATTGCAATATAAGTTGAGGAAAGAATCATTGCATAATATCAGCAGGCTAAATAATGTTGCATTTTCATGCTGATTTTTGAAATAATTAACTGTATTCAGTAGTAATAAAATGATATTTGATTTTTATACAATGTAAAAATAACTTTGGGTGCATCATGAGAAGGCAACACTCACTGGAAAAGCCAATAACGCTAAGGAAATTTGAAGGTAGAAGTAGAAAAGGAAGACTAAATATGAGATGGATCAATTCCATCAAAGAAGCCACAGCCTCGAGTTTACAAGAGCTAAGTAGGGCTTTCAAAGACAGGACATTTTGAAGGGCTCTCATTCACTGGGTCACCATAAGTCAAGGACAACTTGACCAGTACATAGCAACAACAACATAAAAGAAGTATTCTTGGAAATAAGCTCCTGCCCCTTGTCCTGCAGGAATTGCCAGAACAGTGACTATTTTCTTTTCTAGTTATATCTATTTTAGCTGGTCTGTGCCTAGGACTATTTAATAACTTATAATGTAGTGATATTATTTGGCTCCATTATGCCATATAAGTGTGTGTGTATTTAAAAAATGAATTCCATTTTGAATGAGTGGGTCTCATAATACATAAGATGCTTCTAGATGGAAGGTTCCTGGTGCTAACACTTGAACACCTTTGTGTATTCATTCCATCTTTTTTTTCCTTAACAGATTTCTTTTTCTGGTATGAACAGATACTGAAGTAGTGGTGGGGAAACAGTGGAGGGCTACAACCTGAAGATGTCAATGTCCAGATCTCCCATAAAAGTTAATGAATATAGCAGTGCAATCACACAATAAAGTTTCACCTGGAATACCATCAGTTGACCTGAATTGAACCACAATATCTGAGGACAGTGAGGCAGCTACACAGTTAAAGCGAATGTACAAAAAATAAAGTCATTCTTGAAATTCCACCTCACCCTGCTGAAAGGATGAAAAGAAGGACTGCAGTTCAGGAATGACCACTGGAAGCAGCAACACATGTAAAATTAAAATTTTAGTCCCACAACTTACATTGTGGAAACAAACTAGCTTTGAATTCATTGAAGGATCAAAGAGAATAACATTGGACTAATGAAAAACACATCCACCTTTTTGCCACAATAGTTGCTGATTCATTAAGCACAGTTTATATAACACTGGTTACAGATTTTATTTTGCTTTCTGAAATCATTTCATAACCCGAACATGTGTAAGTAAAGCATTATATGTACCTCTTATGATATAGGTGATGTTTTTCATTTCTAATTAGAGCAATACTAATATTATGACACTGAGTTCAAGTTATGGTCAACATCAAAAAAGTTGCTTGAATTAATTTTTTTTCCTCCATTAAAAATTAAAAGCCTAAAGACATCTTAATTCTGGCTAAACATTTCACAGGACAGATGAGAACCAGACACACTATTCTCCTGATCCATGTGGAAAACAGAAGAACCACATCCAGTGGTGTCCATCTGCTCAGTAAAAGAAGCAGCACTAGTGAAATGGACTTCTCCTCCCCTTTCTCCCCTCAGATAAGCTCCAAAGATTGGGAGACACTCCAGAGCAGACTGGCAGCAAGCGGAAGAAGGGGAAATCCCACTGTGCAAGTTGATGACAGCACATGTGACACTGGGTGAAGCCCCATGTTTGTATTTGTGGTACAAACCTTTTATCAGCAGGTACCAAACCCTAAAACACAGAGAGAAACAAAAAATGAAACACTGGCATGGAATTTAAAAATGATAGTCATGTCAGCAATCTCTTTAAGTGATAAAATCCTTGTTCGTTACTTCTGTTGAAGTCTCTCAGGATTGAGGATGAAGTGAGCACATTCCTTAGGCAGGATAATAAGCATCTAACCGGGCTGTAGGAGAATTTTTAAATATCATTTGCAAGACCCATCAGTTTCTCATATGTAAATACTAAATTCATTTTCTAAGTAGGAGAGATTTTGTGGGGGTGGGGAGCAGTAAGAGGAGAAAAACAGCCCAATAAACTGTGTTCATGTAATGCTAGCTGATTATATTCAATGGGCAGGGGAGAGAAAACTGAGGAGAATTAAACAAGGATGCAGAACCTCTGTTCCCTGATGAAAACTGGCCCAGTAGACTGGTCCATCCAGACTGCACAGGCCTGTCCTCAAGCCCCACCATCTCTGACGGGAGGGGAAAGGAGGCTGTTTGAAGCTGTGTCGCCTCTGCTGCTCTTTCACTTTCCCTACACCGAAAAGGAGAGTGCAGTGAAGCTGACTCCTTTGTGCTGCCTGACTTTCCCTAGGTGGGGCAAGCCCAGACACAGCAAAGCAGGCTCACTGGCTGAGGGAGTAGCTGGGGAAACTCCAGCTAGTGCTTTGGCTAGGAACCCGTCCCTAGATACCTTCCTTCCCTAGCTCTTCACCCCTGGAGTAGAATGTGGCTGATTGGCTAACACTCTGAATGTGAACATCCCACACAGCAATGTGTGGCTGTAAGTCTAACTGGTTCTTCATGAAAGGCCTATGATTTTTTTTGCCTGATTTTAATTCCAAGACATTCTAAATTAGTGCTGAATAATTCAGCACTAAGAATTGCTTCACAGATGATATTTCATAGACTCGTAGAGCAGTAGAGTTGCAAGGGGTCAGGAGGGTCATGGGGTTCAACCCCTGCTGTTGCAGGACACCAGTTTACACCATTCCACTCAGATGGGTGTCTGGTCTCTTTTTGAATGTCTCTAGTGTGGGAGGGCCCATGACCTCTTTAGGCAACTGGCTCCACTGTTGTATTGCTCCGACAGTGTGGAAACTTTTCCTGATATCTACCCTGAATCTATTTTGTGTCCTTGGATTATTTTGTGTCCTGCACTCTGGTAATTTGACTTATACATATGTAGAAAATGTGCAACCCTTTGCATATGAAGATCATGTATAGCAGGGGTCCTCAAACTTTTTCAAAAGTTTTTCAACAGGGGACCAGTTGAAAGGTGGTGGCGACCGGCGCAGGCCAGTGAGGCAGGGGTGCCTGGACGCACGGGCTGATGAGGCAGCATCGGGTGCGCGCGGTGGCGGCTCACTTGCTCGGAGATCTTCCAGAGAGTCCAAAACCATCTCGGAGTTAGCAAGTCACTGCACATGGGCAGCAGGTGGCAGCGTGGGCCAGATAAATGGGCATGGCAGGCCGGATCTGTCCCACAGGCCATAGTTTGAGGACCCATGATGTATAGATAATCAAATATCGGTGTACAAAGAGAATATCATAACTGGGGAGTGAAATCTCAATGCATGTATGTGAAGCAATATAAGTATGTGCATTATCTTCATGTATAGTTGTGTGTCCATAAGGATATGAGTTTTCTTCCTGTACATACTAGTAATTGTCCCGTGTACTAATTACTAGCACCATTTGGAATGCTTCTTTGCAAAATTGACTGCAGTCAATTCTGTATTCAGTCAGCAAAAGACAGGTTTAGGGTTTCAGGAGATCAAACTTGGAATCTCAGTAGACGACTGTTCCACTATTGTCTGGAAAAAGGAAAAAGTACTTCATGTGGGCTACACTTCCAGCCCCTGCTGCAAGAACTCTCAATGGGAGAAAATCACAGGTACGCCTGCAATCTGCCAGACAGAAATTCATCACTAGGCTCTATGTCTATGTTTTTGTTCCATTTTTGTCTCTTGTTGCCCCTATTTATGTGGAGAATGTAAGAAAGCTTCTAAACTTTCAGTACAGAAAATGAAAGCAGTGCTATATCAGAATTTTTGCAAAGTGTGTACATAGTATAGAACAAAAGTATTTAGCACAGACCTTGTATAAGATCAAATTCCTGAATGGCACAGGAATTTCTAACATGGGAAAATAATTCTTATGACCTTATAGCAACCTCTGTGCATGATTTAAACCTGTTCCCATGAGATTTTTTATACTGGATTCATCCTAAAAAGTGCTCCAGCGTGCTGTAAACAATCATCTTACTCACAGGGAGTGTGAGGTGATTTCATAATACTTACGCTGCAAGGAAAATCACCTTATATTTGTGTTATTGCAACAGAACTACTTAAACAAGTGCAGACTAATGCAGTAAGTTGTCACTCCAAGTGTATCATAAAGAAAAAGTCAGGTTGCTCATGTGTAATTGTCATTCTGGTCATCTGTGCATTCACTCATATGGGCTCTGCACCTGCATGGGAAGATTCTATAGCTAAGTGTTTATTTGGGGGAGAACCTCTCCTTTTCCTGTTCCAGGAATAAATAGGACAGGCTCCCACCCATTCCCTGAGTTCTGTTGAGATTGTCTATAGGTCTCAGGTCTGAGGGAGAAGTGTTTTGCCACCCTGGCCAGGCTCCTGTGTGCCCCTGGCAGAGGGGAACAGTTCTGAGGTTCAACACCAAGTGGGGCTGCTGGGTGCATTGTGTGAATGCACAGAAGACCACTGGAAGAAGTTTAGGTATGGGTAAACAATCTGACTTTCTTTGTGGTCTCTGTGCATCACACACATGGGAAACTAGCAAGCTTACCTTCGAATGGATGGAGGGATGGCGTCATCACTGGAGGATTGTGGAGAGGGCTGCTCTGCTGAAGGAGCAGCTGCCTTGTATGGATGCCTAGTCTGTAGTGCTTGGCAAATGTTGAGGGTGTGGACCATGTGGTTGCATTGTAGAGGTCCTCCAAGGGTATTCCTGCGAGGAGGGGTGTGTATGTTGTCATCATTCAGGTGGAGTGGGCTCTTGGAAGGGCCGTGATTTGTAGGCTAGCCAGCTCATAGTCCAGGGAGATGACCCAGGCTGCTACTCTCTGAGTGAAAAGTGTCTCCTTTGTTTCTTCTATCATAGCATATGAAGATTTTTGGTGCCTAGTGGAAGGATTCAGTAAAACAGGAGTGAAGAGTAGACTCCATGGGATTGGAGGGATCAGCAAAGAAGGCTGGGAGAGTGATGTCCTGATTGAGGTAGAACACTGATATGATCTAGGAAAGGAAGGCTGGGTCTGATTGGAGTACTGCCTTGGTATGTGCAAGGTGAGGAAAAGTGGGTCTATGCAGAGGGAATATAGTTTGCTGGTATATCTGGCTGATGTAATGACCACAAGGAAGGAACAGAGAGGAGGTGAAGGTCAGGAGCTGTAGCTAGTAGCTGAAAAAGTTTCTTGGCGAGTGCCTGCAGTATGATTAAGAGGCTGCATGCTGGTGTGCAGAGGTGGGTGGGTGGTGCTAGGTTTTGGAGACCATGAAGGACCCAGTAGAACAGCGGATATAAGAAGATTGGGAACCATTGTATTGGTGTGTGGAAGGAGGAGATTGCCACCAGCTATATTCAGATGGAGAAACGTTTTAGTCCTTTTTTTGGAAAAGCATGTGTAGGACACAGAGAATTTGCTCAATGGTGGCATCTCATGGATCAAGGTTTTCTTGTTGCATGAAGGTGGAGATAATGTTCCATTTGGTTAAGTTGGGCTTCCTTGTAGATGGCTTGAGGGAATGTTGAGGATGGTTCTGATGCCCTGTGGCAGTGTGTTGATTGTGGGGTTTATGGAGTTATGTGCCATGCCATGAGGCATGGAGTGTTGACGTTGGGGTGAAGGATCCTGCCCTGGTCCTATAAAGTCAGGTCTAGTTTATGCAGAAGTTAAAGGAACATCCTGTGGCAGAGTTGTAGGAGGCAGACAAAACATGGTTGCCATGGCTACTGGGGGTGATAAAGATGCAGTCCTTCTTGTCCCTTCTTATCTTTTTGAGCATGCTCACAATTTTGGGAAGAGGTGGGAAGGGAGAGAAGAGTGTCCTTGACCATTTGAGAAAGAATGGCTTGCCCCCTCTCCCGCATGGAAGCAAACATTCACACAAACTGTTTTATTGGCCGAGGCAAAGAGGACAACTATGGGTGTGTTCCATGTGTCAAAGATCTTGTGGGGGGCTCTGGTGCTCAGCTGCCACTCATGCACATGTAGGTTTGTGTGGCTGAGGGTGTCTGCCAACACTGAGTGAGGAGGCAGACAGGGCAAGCAATACTGAGGATTTCAAATTTGATACATAGTCTTTGGGATCCAATGGTGGTGAGGGTGGTCTTGGTCTCAAGGTTCTTTGTAGAGGTGGTGTTGAGGGTTAGGGCTAACCCAACCTAAACACTTAGCTATAGAACCTACCTGACAACAGACTCCATGCAGGCACAGAGCCCATATGTGAAAATGCAGAGACCATGAAGAAGAACACTAAAATACTTATTCCAAGATACACAGATTTATTTGATAATTAAAAATGTTAAAAGTGCCATGCTGGCTTAGATCAAAAGTCCATCCAGTCCAGCATTCTATTCACACAGTAGCCAAGTATTTGCCCATTGGATCCCACAAGCCGTGCAATAGCACCTTCATGCACAAGTTGCCCAGCCACTGGTATACATAGCTACACTGTTTCCGGTATTAGAATTAGCATATGGCCATCAGGATTAGTATCACCAGTTATAAATGGAATAATCCTGGAATAATCCTGGACGTATGAAAGACATGGATAACTAAGGTCAAATAACTACAACCAACCTCCCTCTATATTAGTGAATGAGTAGCAGCTCTCAACTTGCAAAGATAATTAGTTCTTAACTGGAGGCAAGACTGTCAATCAGAGAACATAAGGATAAGCAGAGGGTGAAAGTGCAGAGAATTGTCCCAAACTGCCCTGCTACAAGTAGTTTTCAAAATCCCTGAGAAAATCAGTCTACTGACCAAAACAGCTATGTTTCAAAGTATACTACCTAATAAACAAACAAACAAATATAACCAGGAGTTTTGTGGCACCTTAAAGAGTTATGGCATAAACGCTTGTAAACCAGGTTTCCATTACTAAAATAGGCAGAAAACTAGTAGCAGCAGTAGTAGTAATACAGTAAGAGATCAGTAGTCTTTTGAACACCATACCAATATAATACCAAAGATCCCTCATACCTCACTCCCAAGAGCAGGCAATACTTTTTCTCCTACAGAATACAAAGAAAACAAAAACCAAGGTTATTAATGCTGCTTAAACATTGGAAGTGCATGCTGGTCCCTAGCTTCAATTCAACACTTTGGGGGGAAAATCCCCGTTCCAGTGAGACTGGTTTGGAATCTGTCTGCTTCCACTCAGTACTAAATGCAAGTTGAGGGTCAGAGATCTGAAGGCTTTGTGCTTCCTTCTGATTATCATAGGACAAAAACCCAACTATAATCTTCTTTTTCTTCATCAAAAGTAGATAATAGTTGCAGAAATGTATCCCCTTAGAAGAGGAATGCACCTAACAAATGTCAGAAAAATAGGTGCATGAATTATAACAAGAAATTCATGTTATAACAATAAAACCATGGCTTCTCTAATAGCAGCTAAAATGCTGACTGATTCAGATGACATTAAGTTGAAGCCTTACAATTCAAGAGTAGCTAACAAAATCCTAAAAAATCACTAAAATGACAAAATTAACAGAAATATGGTAATATGAAAGTGGAAAAGATCAAAATACCATTTACACTTTGTTATTATTGTACACATATTGTCACGATGTTGATATATATAGATGCTTTATGTTGTAGTTTTCTTTTGCACTCTTCTAGATTTTGGAATTGCCTTTGATGTGGATTAAAAAAACAAAGTAAAATCCATTTTATACTTTAAAGAGATTTAAAATCGTATTTCTGTGTTTGATGCTTTCAATGGTGCAAGAAAAAAAAACTAATTTAAAATGTTTTCAGCCAGAAAAATTGTTACTAATTTTTTATTACAAGGATTATTTATTGTTTGTTTGCGTGTTGTACTGAGCACTGAAATATTTTTGTATAGAAGGAATATCTATTTTCTTTCAGGGATTATGGTTTGTTACTTAAGTATTTTATATGTATAAATCTCAAAGAAACTTTCTACCTGCACATGACTGATTTTCCATAATTCCCTTTCTTGCCAGAAGATTACTGGATCAGATCATAGGCATAAGAGGACCACAGAACTAAGGGAATTTTAAATCCCAGGGAACATGCCCAGTGTTTTCCTTCTTAGAAGGCAATAGAAAGCATCTGTGCAAGAGCAAAATCCTAGATTGATTCATTGACCAGATAAATGAGCTTCATGGTACTCTTTTATAAAAAAAGATGCATTCTCTTTTTCATGCTCCCTAAGCACAAAGAATAAACCATCTCTGTGGAGCTGCCATGATCTGCCATCAATTACGGTGCTTTGAACATTTAGTATTGTGAGATTGGTCTGTCTGAATGCTAAATTTGTAACCTTCACAAAATGATGGTGCCAGATAGCAATTATAATAAAAATAGGAATGGATTAAAAAGCTTAGCCCAAATTGATATGCCATTGTTTGCTTTACCTGAGGATGGTGTTGTCAGAGTGGTGGAGAGAATCTTTGCTTACATCATTTTAAACTGACATTAAAGAGGAGGCATTTAATCTTACATCACAATTACAGGAACTATGTCACTGCATTTGGTCAGTGCATGATGCAGCAATGGATGATCTTCATTAGGTGTCCACCAGATAAGGGCACTTCAGAGGAAATCTCATATGCCCCAATTACCCCAGAGATGCACTTAGCTGGGATCAGGAAAAGACCTTTTCGGTGTCTGCACCAAGGCTCTGGAAGTTAATAATCCTTTTGAGAAAAGCCTTTGATGTTGTTTTACTCTGTCTTGGAATATTTACATAGTTGAATACTACTGTTGCAATTTTTTAATCTTTAATTGATTCCCTCCCCCTCCCACCATAGTCTCCCACCCAGGGTATTGTTAAATCCTGAACTGGGAATAAATGAGCACTTTGGTGCACACAATCTGAAAACTTGCAGTATAAGTAGCAGCAGCTAACAATTCAGGAACAGTGCTCCACCTTCTGGTTCATTAAGGCAACTGTACAGCAGCCTTCCTCATCCTGGTGTTGTCCACATATTTTGGGCAACTCCCAGCATTCCTACTGGCTAGGACAGACAGAAAGGCTGGTGTAGGGAAAGGCTGCCATATAGCCTATTTTTCCCCCTTAGAGGAAAATACTTGTTTGATAGTAATTATAGCAGACCTGGCCCAAGATGTTCTGCTACCCAAGGTTGACCAGCTACTGCCACATTTACTGCCTCTGCTTTCTCCACCCATTCCATGATGCACAGACTTGCACTTGCTCCTGGTTCTGCCAGTCTTTCAAACAGTATTGGTTGCTGTCTCAGAGGTGACAGTATAAGCACTTTTGTAGGCTCCTCAGATTCATCTCATACCTCACATGCTTCACTTTTTGAAAGGCCTCTGTATTGTGAGGCACTGGGGCAACCAGCGTACTGTAAAAGCATATGCTGATTAACATTTCACAGTTAAACTTTAACATATGTTTATTACTGTAATGCCGAAAAGTGACTGGTACTATTTGTGACCACTGCACATAGAATGGGCTGGTTCACATGATCACCAGCACTCACTGCTGTGTAAATAAGTTATAATGGGCTGCACAGAATCCCAGCCACCATAATTAATATTCAAGCAAGGCTGGGCAGAAACCATGGCTCACTGTGGCATCTGAACCTGGACAGGATGGCTTGTTGCCATGGCTAACAAGCTTCCCCAAAACCCTACCGCAGTCCAAAATCCATTTCCCCACCACCCTGCCAGCTATGATTAAAAAACAAAAAAGATAGGAGGAATTTTACCAGGAAAGGCAAAGTGGAGAAAGGGTTTTGTTTCCCCTCTTCTTAATCACCATGATCCTGAACTGGGAGGACATGCACTTACATGAAGGAATGCCACTCACAGAAACATGCAGAGCTGTGCTAGGAAGAGGAACAGGCTGCATGCAGCAGCCAATGAACTTAAAAAAATAAAGAAAATAAAAGCCTTGCTTAGCCATATAATCCTAAAAAGGTAATTCCCCCTTTCTCTGCTCTGAAAACATGGCATATGCAGGTGCATCACAAGGACTGGCGAGAGAATCTCATCATAGCAGGAAATCTCATAGACCAATCATGTGACAAAGGCCCTTGACATAAGTACAGGGGGCTGGCAGAAGGGTTAGTTGGAAACAAGCAACAACAAACCTCAGAGAGGCCAATAATTTGTTGGTACCATCATGGCTTTACAATTGAATAACCAATCCATGGTAGTGTATTTACAGGGTGGATTATCATGATATGAGAACCTACCCTGAATGTCTAATAGTGTTTTACACATTTTGCATAAACTACAAGCACTGCAGGCAGGACTCGCTCCAACGGAGCAAAGCTCAGGGAGCCAAGGTTCCATTTAGATGCCAGGAAGCACTTCCTGAGAGTTAGGACCCCAAGGGTGTGGAATGGGCTTCCACGGGAGGTCGCTGAGGTCGCTGAGGTCGCTGAGGTCGCTGAGGCCCCATCGGTGCAGGTGTTCAAAGACAGGCTGGACGTGCACATGGTGGGCATGTTGTGAACAGAGCCAGCTGGAGCCAAGGGGCAGACTAGATGGCCCAGGAGACCCCTTCTGACTCGCTCTGTTTCTATGTTTCTATGATTTCACGGGGCACAAGGATCTTAAACATTAACAAAAATAATCCTTAATGTCTTTCTTGCTCTCTCAGCATATCCAATCTTACCAACAGAAATAGCTTTCTGGGAATATGAGGCATATGTGAGTTCTCTTGATCTTAGGGTGGTCTGGTAGGCAAAAGAAAAGGGAGGTTATTTTTCTGCAGCAAACATTCTGGAAGACAAGCCACATACATGCAGAGCCACTGATGTACTACATTGAGGAAAGTGGGTTCTATGCAGTGGTACCTGTCCCCAGACTGAACAGACATTGCTAGGTGAACTATTCCCTTTCCCCTGTAGCCCTCATATACCTTCCAGTCTGCTCTGAAGGTATGTGAGACCCTCTGGAGGAGACCTGGAGGGGCATGGGGAGATTGCTGCAGGAGAAGAGGAAGGGCATGTCTACTCACATGACAGTGGATGTAGCTCATTGGAAATGTCCCCTTCAAGGCTCCCTCTCAGCCCTTCCTTCTGTACCAATTCTCTCCTTTCTACCATGTTTTGCTTTAATTAAGGTGGAGTATTACAGTGCCTTGGGGAAGTATTCCCACTTTTTGTTGTGTTACAGCCTAGAAGTGAAATGGATTCAATTCACATTTGTCACCATTTGATGTCCCTTATGCAAGCTCCACCAATCTGTCCCCTTCCACAAATGAGTGTTTTCACTTGTTTTGGGTTGTCCCAAAAGTGCTAACGCACCACTGTAAAAGCAGTGGGGCAGTGCAACTGGTAGCACAAAAGAGAATCAGCAAGGCCTAAGTGCCCCATTATATATTGCCCTTTAGATTTAAACAGCAAAAATCCAGAGAATATTATTCTTTATTAGAAGTACTAGTACCTTTGCCACCACATTTTTTTTGGCATGCTTTGGTGTCCGCATCTTTTTGAGACCCAGTCTTTCCGTTCTGAGGAGCTTCTTGGGCACTTGCTTTTTGGGCATGTATTTCTAAACATATCATTGATATAAAACATTACATAACACATTTCAAAATCACACATGATTCAAAATTATTCTTATAGACAGTTGTGCAGTTAGCTCATTTTAGATACTGGGACAACAGGGATGGGGATTTTCACCAGATGGTAATGTGCATTACCTTACTTAAATCAAAAGGTGGTAAACCTGTTCTTGCTGTGCTTAGTGCCCTCCTGCTCATTTTCTTGACTGAAGTCCTGGGATTCCGCCCCAGTGTACTCCCCTGAAGCACCACTGCTTATAGAAGTATATTCAAACTTGTCACTAACCACCCAGAAATTATTATTTAAACACTCCCAAATCTAGCAGGCACTTCAAAGAAAGGTCTTATATCTTTTAAGTGTCCCATACTAACCCATCCTTGAAAGTTGCTTCCTGATAGTAGAAAGAACAACCTGCAATCAGTTTCAGCAGAATACAGTACAAGCCAAGCATTGAGGTTGATATCAAGATGCCCATTACAGCAATCTTCTCCAACCTGGTGCTGTCTGGAGGTTTTGGCCTTCAACTCCCATCAATCAGCATAGCCAACAGTCAGAAATACTGCAAGCAGCGGTCTAATAAGATGGGGACAGCAGCATTATAGCTTCTGGACAAATATAAAGCTGAGCAACAGAATCATTGCTATGGCCACAGAGGTCAACAGTTGGCAGCATTTATGGCTCAAGACCAATCTTTTAAAACAGAGATATTAAAAAGTTGCCAGTGTTGCAAGTGAATGTGATTTTCTTTCTATCCAGGAATGAGCTGGACAAATATGTGCACCAGCTCCTGAAACATGAAGAATATTGTATATCTTTCAATAAATATATAAACCTTAGAGACTTTTGTTATTTCCTTAACTTCAGTCTCATCCAATACTGTGGATCTTCGTTCAAAAGAAGACTTGGGTGAACCAACCTAAGAACAATACACACAAATGAAAATGTTAATCAAATGCATGTTGCAGGAATATATGGTAATGTACTAATTGGATCTCTGATCAATACTCAGTGAACTGAGTGGAGATATTTCTCACCATGCTGTACAATAAACACCAAATGCACCAAAACACAAACACACCACTTCATTCCAGAAAATTTATTTCAGTATTTCTTTATGTCATGGTTCTATTTGTTCACTTAAGTGATACAGCAGAGAAAGCAAAAATTAGCCATTATATCACCCAGGACCCAGTAAATTGGGGAAGTAATTAACTAAAGGTATGTACTGGAGGGTATCCTCCTTCACCCCTAAGTCTGGCTTGTAGGTATAGGGAACACCTACAATGCTTTTGGAGTGCAACTCTCATCATTATCATTGACCACTGGCTAGAAAGATGGGATTTGAAATTTACAAGCATCTGGAGGATCATACATTCCCCAGCCCTGCCATAAGAGCTTACTGGAATCTGAATCCTGGAACAAAGGGTCTGCCATTCTTATGATGAAATCATCTACAGAGGTATGAACATGGTGCAACAGGGAGAATTCTATGTGCACACTGGATCCTGGAGGCAAACTCTTGATGCCAGTCCCACCACACATTCATCTGGGGTTCATCTATATGTGCAGTGGACTCCACACTGCAGACCTCAGTGGCTGGAGCCTGAATTTTGTAAACTCTTCATCCATGAAATGCAAGTTCAAATAATGGTATTCTCTGAAGCATTTTTTTAAATCAAGGGGTGATGGTATATTTGAGAGTTCATCAGTTCTGTTCAATTGGTATATAATTTCTTCAAATCAGCTTTTTAGTATGATTGTTTCCATTAGCATTTCCTCTACTGCCTGGACCATGAAACAGTCACAATTCAAGGAAAAGTAAAATCTTTACCATCAAGGATGGAGAAGAAAAAATGAAAGTCAAACTAAGTACTCCTGTGCTTTTTTAAAAAGGGGCCATCCCTCAGTCTTCAGGTATGCAGAAACTGATGTTTGGTATCACAGCATGAAGTCTCATATAGTCTTTTAATCTTAGCATACTGAGGATTTCATTTCCTTCAACCATCAGCTAATACTATCAACTTGATTTCAATTTATTTTTTTAATCTAGAGTATCACTTGAAATTTATCCAACTTGGTTAAAACAAAGGCAGCCATATTTCTTTTTTACTTCTGATCTCTGCCTACCTGGGAACCTGTTTTTTTCAAGTCAAGAGAGGGGTCTGCAAAAAAGGCAACCTTTAGGTTTTCACAAATTGAGATCAGCCATTACTTCTTCCTAAAAGACTTGGACATGTAATTGATACTTGTAGCACCTAGCAGTGACAGTTTCATTCTGTCCCCAGTGCCCACCTTGAAAGTGGTTCTTAAATACAAACCCGTGATCATAGTATCATGTGACCATGATACTTATTTTAACTTATTTTAATTTACTTTGTTTTTTCACTCTTCCCCTGCTATTTGTACCACCAAACCTGATGAAGAGCTTGCACATTTTTTGGTGACATTTTGGCCAGTCCTAAAAACTGTTCTGCCTGACTGTGGATTTTAGATTTTTCTTCTGTTTGCCTTTGATATTCATCCCGGTGCTAGCCTTGGTTCAATCTCTTCTTCCCTTATAATTACTCTACTGCTCTAGTCTGCTCCTGTGCCTTCCTCAGTACATCTCTGTTCCCTGACTCTGGGCCATGGTTCCTTGATTAATGCTGAATCAACCTCATAGATTTGATTACCCAGTGAGCTGCTAAAGAGTCTTTAGAAACTATATGCTCATGAAGTAGTAAAAAACCCACTAATTTATGGCAGCCTTTGCCAACCTGGCACCTTCCAGATGTTTGGACCCAGGATTTCTGATCACTGGCCATGAAAGTTGGGGCTGATGGGAGTTGAGGTCCACAACATCTGGAAGGGTTATTGAAACATAATTGAACATTTTTAAGTTCATTGATTTCAATGGAAGTTGTAATAAATATATTTAAATATCCTATTGAAAGGATATTTAAATATATTTAAATTAACATTAATTGAAAGTCATTAATGTTAAGATTAGGTAGGATAATACCTTGTCTTGTGTGAGTATTTTGTCTCCTTTTGTATCATTTTCTTTTCTTTTTCCAAAAATGTAAGACTCTACCAAAAAAGGATGAAAAAATCCTCTTAAAAGTTTATGTGCACATTATCACATATATGAAAACAAAAGGTTAGATGTGCAAGCAGAAAGTGTTTTCTCTTTACAGAAGTGCTGTTTTATATTTCACACTAGAGCTCTAACAGACAACAATAAAATGAAATTGAAAGATGTACTTTTATTTGTGAGCAACAGGCCATCAGAAGCATAAGAACTGCAATCAAACCTACCTATTATAGAATTAAGCAAACTGTTCCACCAGCATTTCTAAAACAGCACTAATAGCTATTTCTCTTTCAGTAAGTGTATTTAGATCCAAATGCATTTTCATGATAAAAATAGGAAATGGATATTAATAGATATAAGATGAATTTGAGTAATATTTCTCTGTTACAAATATCATCTGTATTAGATGGATGTTATAGACTAAGAAAGCCTTTTCTTTACAATTCCAGGTCACCAAAATACATTACACATGAGCTGCCACTAATCATATTGAATCTCCCAACAACCCCTGGACAGAGGGTAGGCAACATGATGTGCAGGGGTACCAATGCACAGAGGAAAGGCCTCTGCTGTAGTACATGACAGTCTTAGTCAGAAACATGTATGCCCGAAGGCTCAGCTGGGACAGAAGCTCTGTCATTGCTGGACTGCTTCTACGGTGGTGCTCCTTTCTTTTTGGAGCTTAATGAGGACTCCAACTGTACCCCAGAAAAGCTGAGAAACTCCATCCAAGCTGCTTCCTAAATATCTGAAGTAACTATGAACAGGCAGACCAAGCTTCCATTTATTCCCTGCACTACATCAGAAGCAATCACTGGTTGAAATATTTTATTTGTCCTTCCCTCTATCATATGTTCTATTTACCACTAAAATAAGAACAGAAGTGTAATTCTGCCGGTATTGCGGTGGGGACAGGACTCTCATCACCCAGATAGATCCATACAGTTCAAAGCTGACAAACAACAGAGTGAAAACTGCATGCTCCTAGAACAGTTACCTTCTCCTGTTACAGTACTGAAAGTACTTCACTAACACTATCTCAGTAAACTTCACAATGGGCATGTAAGGTAATCCACATGCTATCATCAGCAGCGTACAGAGCAGACAGACACTAGGGGTGCAATCCAGTGTCCTATGCTTCAGATGCACATTAGCTACTGACCCTGGAGGCTTACATGCATCCAGTGCACAGAGCAAGGCTCAGTGGTGTTGCCACTGTGCTTAGTGCTGTATCTTTCACCTAGACAGCCATTTTTAGCCATCCAGATTACGCAATAGGGAAAAAGAGAGGAAGAGGTTGGGGTACCAACAGGAAATGGCAATCAGCCCCACCTCCCTCTCTTTTCTGTCTTTCCAAGACCCAACTTCATCCTCAAAGAATACAGTTCTTTCTGTACTGGCCATGAAGGGCCAGAGTGGGGGCTCAGGCATCAGAATCCCAGCTCCAATGTTGCAAACTGAGGCTCCAAATAATCCTACAAACCCCCAGCAATGTTGGGAGGCCAGAGGATTAGGCCCTAAAAGGAGTAATTTATCTAAGGCCACAGAATAATCTCATCACCTGCTGAGATTTGGCATCCAATTGGTATCTCATATCTTAACTCCTGCTATAGTTCAGGAAAGGTCAGATATGATTAAGCAAGTCATAATAACTATAATATAGAATAATATCTATAATGTTTTGCTATACAGTGAAAGCAAGTAGTGAAAACAGACATTTTGGAATACCTATGCATAATGTTGGCTCTAAAGTCTGCCTTCTGTCCATATAGATGGCATTTTCTGTTATTATTTCTGATTCACTTGGAGGTATTTCTTCACTGATGTGATGTTGCTCTACTTCTTGTGCTGGTTCCAGAAGGGCTACTTCATTTTCTTCTTCAGCTGACTGAATGGACAATAAAACAATATTAGATTTGATGGGGGGAACAGGGGAGGAAACAATCACCTTTCTATTCCAATCCTCTTAAAAAGCACCCCAAATCATTTTCTTGAAACTGGACTGCACTAAATGCATAGCATGATGCTGATCTTCATCTGTGGTGCAGATCCAGATCAGGACTTCTAAATGGAAACAGAAGTTTATACCTTCCCATCCAGTCACTTCCCTGCTAAATTCCTGTTCTCCCTGCAGGAGCTAAGACATAGGAAAGAAGTCTCCCATTGGTGTCAACACAGTATCTAACTCTCTTTCTTTTAGCCCATGTGTAAATCAAAGGGGTGGAAAATCAAAGGGGGAAATTGGCAAGGTTCCTTTCCCTGCTGGCAATCTAAATTTCACCTATTCACATACAGTGGTCCACATCAGGGCCTTATACATTTCCTTGTGAGGAACAACTGGACACTACATATTGATTGGAGTATGTAGGCCTTTGATGTTACAAAGTCTAAAACCTTCCTGACAAATGAAAAATCTGGCAATCCTAGAACTCTAATATAGAACTAATACTGAAGCTTCTACCTAACTGGAAGGTTCAAGGGATTCCTTCATTGTTTTGTAAACCCAGACAGCTTAAAAGATTAGGAAGAAAGATGATGCTTTGCTCTTAAAAACAACAACAATACAGCATCCTCCTTGGCCTCACTAACCTGGCCATGCCTGAAATCAGAGCGGCTGTGGGGGGAAAAAACCATGAAAGGAAAGTGGTATGAGAAAGATCAGAAGTAAGAGCAGGGAAAGGGAATAAAAGAAAGAAAGAAGAGCAGGAAAAAAAAAAGGAGAAAGAGGAGTGAAAGAGCAGAAGCAAGGAACATGATGACAATAAAGAGGTAAATAAGCAGAAAACAATGAGTAACAAGAAGCCTTACCTCCCCCCACCTCCAAAAAGCTGCAAAAAAGGGAAGAATCACAAAACAAACATTTTCTACTGATGTGCAACATATGCAGCATCCAGAATCCTGCTGGCAAAGGAAATTTCTGCTTCTGTCTGCCTCCTCCCTACACCATAACATTTTTCAGTGCATACAGAGTAAGGCAACAGGTTAGATCATTGATTTGGTGCGAAAAGAACATTAGTAATCTTTGATGTATATTCATTTTCTGCTATGGTGGCTGCTCCAAACATGGCATTACATTACTTTCTTTAAAAATTTTCAGCCAGACCATGCTTCTTTCTATACTTTATTCCCATTTGCTTTGCCTTGTATAATCAGCTACAGTTATGTGCTGTCAGTCATCTTTGACTTATGGCTATCCTATGAATGTCTTCCAAAATGTCCTGTTCTTCACAGCCCTGCTTGACTTTTGTAAACACTGTGAACTATAAATGAACCCTGTGACTTCCTTTAGAGAATTGATCCATTTCATAGTTGGTCGTCTTCTTCTTCCTTCAACTTTTTCTTTACCCAGGGAGTCTTGTCTTCTCATGATGTGTCCAAAGTACCAAAGCTTCAGTTTCATCATTTTTTGCTCCAGGGAAAGTTCTGGTTTGATTTTATGCAGGGGCCCACTTGTTCATCTATCCGTCAGATCAAGGTTAATGCAAAACTCTCCTAAAGTAACATGTTTCAAGTACATCCATTTTCTTTCTGTCAGCTTTCTTTACTTCCAGGTTTCACACATGTACACAGTGATCGGGAACATAATAGTGTGGATGATTTTAGTCTTGGTCTCCAGAGAAACATCCTTAAACCTGATTATCTTTTCTGGTTCCTTCCTTGATGTCCTTCCAAATCTCAGTCTTTTTTTCCTAATTTCTTTTTTCTTCAGTAATCGCTGGTCTCAGAGTCTGTATTGGAAGAAGAACAAGCTGGTGATACACATTCTGTTGGTTGGACATCAGCGGTGGCTTCCTGAGTAGAGGTAGATGGAAGATCTGAGTGCTGTTGAAGCTGATGTCAAGGATGGGCTGGTGGATATGGGAAACTGTAAGGTGGTAAATAATCCCATGTATAACCAGATGGCACTGGTGAATGCATTGGGGAATCCTGAATTTCACCCTCTGAAATTGATGCCGGTAGAGTCGGTTCCGGTCGGTGAAGATCAGGTGGACTGGACCATAAACATGAAGATAGTCTTGGTGATGGACTGCCCTGTAAACATGGTAACAGTCCTGTAAACATGGTAACAGTCCTGGTATCGACCATACTGGTGGTGGTTGAAGCAGGGCTTCTATTGGTACAGATGGGTCAGTTGGTTCCATCTCCACCCTGGATTCTGGGTCCCTCTGAACAGAATGAGAGTGTCTTTTCCACTTTCCCCCCTGTTTTTCCCTTTCCAGAACATTTTTCCTTCTTGGGTTCCTTTGTCTCAAGATGTTTTCTTTCCTCCTTATGTTTTTTAGGAGATTGAGATAAATCAGGACATTTTGCTGTGGTCCCAGAGCTCTCTGAGGTTGGCCAAGTGGCTGTGGGCACATGTGTGGAAGCACTTCCCTCAGCAACAGAAGGACCAGCCATTTTGTCAGAGGTAACTTCCTTCACAGCTGCTAGAGCTCTGTCTGAACTCTTTTTTGAGATGGCTTTCACAGTTCTTTTGAGTTTGTTTTGTAAAAGCTTGGCAGTGAACGCATTTATCCACCCTATACCCCTTGCCAACACATAATAAGCAAAGTGAGGGGCTGCCCATAGACTGCATTTTTGCTGCATGCTGAGCACACTTTCTGAAGGCAGAATGCTGCACCACTGAGAAAAGAGGAAAGGGGATGTTGTGATAGATGGTTTTTTTGTAAGGCTGATTAAAGGAGAGGGGAAAGGGGATTAAGAATTAAGTTGAAGGAAAAACGGTAAGAGAAGATAACAAAGTGTTTAGGAATGAGGAAAGAAAGGTTATGTAAAAGTTTAAATTGAGGAGTACTTGTGAAGGAGCAAAAGTAGTGAGAAAAACCTGAGGCACAGCAAACGGCGGTCAAAAGCAGACTGATGAAAGGGCAGGGATCCCACCTACTAATACAGGGGGAAGGAGAAGAGGGGTTCCTGCCAAAAACGCGAATAAGCTGAGAAATCTTCCTGAATACAGGTACTGCGCAGATGCAGCACCCATACGCATGATGCACAGAGACCATGACAAAGAACATAAATTATATGGAGGATTCCTATAAATTCTGGTTCAAATCAACATGACTTTTTAAAAAGCAAAATATTAGGTCTATAGTCTTTTGAACACTGGTCCACTGGCTAGAGCCAATAAATCAATGCACAAATTTCTAGCTGCTATTTTTCCACTCAGCAAGAAGGGAGTGATCCAATGATATTTTAATTATAAAAGATGGCATACAAACCAGCTCTTCGGCTTGAATTTTTGTCATGGGTTGTTCATGTTGAGATGAAGATGGAGAAATGCCCAAGAAAGGTATTTCCTGGTCTGGAGGTGCTGCAGATTTTGGCCCAAGCATGTATTTCATATCCTCTGTCACAATCATTCTTTCAGACACTGAAGAAAAAATACAGTCATAATTTCAATCAGATTTTTCACTTAGTGCTTCCTATGATCTTAACACATGATGAACATGGAAATCTGTTGCTAGGGAAAGGTAGGTTTTCCTACATGGAAATGAGATAGTATGCTTCTTAAGCAAAGAAAATGTACCCTGAGTTTTACATTCATTTGGTTTCTTCTGTGCTTTCCCAGTTTTTTTTTAATAACTAACCTACTTCTTAGCCAAGATCTGTTTCTTCGACTTGCAGAAGTAGTATGCAGGCTGATGCATTTTTTCTAACAGTTATTTGCATGTGTCCAGAGTTGCCAAGTTTGATACAGTGTAAGACACATGAATCAATGCATTTTATTCCAGAAACAGTGCTTTCCAATGTATTGATGTTTGGATAGTCCTGCTCCTAGCTGCTATAAACCTGCTGCCCAAATAGTTTTTCTCAGAACAAAAGCAAAAGATAAGGTGTAATATAAAACATCAACTTCTCAAGTACGATACAATAGTCCACTGTGGGATCTTTAATGTGTATTGAGGCTGCGCCATCGCAAATCCTCAATTTACCCAAGATCATCAGTTCCATGAGATGCAACAACTTCCAAACAAGGACAGCACATGTAATTTAATGCTCACAGATGCTGCCACTAGCATGGATTAAATAATCCATAAGGGGCCACAGTGCATCATCTGAACCCTGTCAGTGTTCAGAAAAGCTAACAATAGAATTGGCTTGTATGTGATTATGCATTTTTCATGTAACTGTATTACAAGCACCCTGGGTTTGTTGATTCCAAGACAGTAACTTCTAAGTGAATATGGAGTGCAGCATATGTGTCTTTATCTTTCATGCTAGAGTTGTCTTTACAGTGCTGCTAGAAAAGCTGGAAAGTTCTTGCCAACACCCATCTAAAAATATTTTTACACCAACTTGCAAAAAAATTAAAGCTACTTTATTTGTTATTCATTACTGCACCCAGTGTAATGCCTTTCATAATTATGGAAGAAGAGTAGGAAAACCAGTACTGGGATACAATCTCCAAAATGACAGAATGATCTCAGTTCGAATCCAAAACCATTGGACTATTGTGATGTTGAAGGCAAAACCATTCAACATCACGGTAGTCCTTGCCCCAACCGCTGGTGCTGAAGAGGCTGAAGTTGACCAGTTCTATGAAGGCCTACAACACCTTTTAGAATTAACAGCAAAAATGATGCCTTTATCATCATGGGGGATTGGAATGCTAAAGTAGGAAGCCAAAAGATAACCGGAATAACAGGCAAGTCTGGCCTTGAAGTACAAAATGAAGCAGGGCACAGGCTGGTAGAATTTTGTCAAGAGAATATGATGGTCATAGCAAACACTCTTTTCCAACAACCCATGAGACGATTCTTCGCATGGACCTCACCAGACGGTCAACATAGAAATCAGATTGACTATGTGCTCTGCAGCCAAAGATGGAGAAGCTCTATACAGTCAGTAAAAACAAGACCAGGAGCTGACTGTGACTCAGATCATGAGCTTCTTATTGCAAAATTTAGGCTTAAATTGAAGAAATTAGGGAAAAGCACTAGGCCACTCAGGTATGTCCTAAATCATATTCCTGATGAATATATAGTAGAGGTGACAAATAGATTTAAGGACTTAGATCTGATAGACAGAGTGCCTGAAGAACTATGGATGGAAGTTCGCAACATTGTACAAGAGGTAGCAACTAAAACCATCCCAAAGAAAAAGAAATGCAAGAAAGCAAAATGGCTGTGAGCTTAAGTGGACTCTGGGAGATGGAGGAGGACAGGAAGGCCTGGAGGAATGTTGTTCATGGGGTTGCAATGGGTCGGACATGACTTCGTGACTAACAACAACAACAGCTACGGACGGTGGGCCTATACATGCTGAAAGGCCACTAATAGCTGAATGGATTGCACTGTACCCTTCAGTGGCATTCCTATCAACAGGAGCTGGACTACTTTGTGTCAGAATTCAGGAGTATAATTTTATCTAAGCAGATCATTGTGCTTTACTTCGTTGCATAGGTATAAAAGGCTACCATTTTCACAGATGTGAGAAAATAATGTGGTATATATGGCAACCTCAATCTGTGATGGGGGCTAAACTTGTCTGTGCCCCTTAGTGACTGTTGTGTCTGGAAGAAGGGTGGTTCCTTCAACTCTGTCTAAGATTATAGTCTACATATTTTGTCCCAGTGGAAGTCACCAAAAAGGAAGACTGTGCCTTACTTGCACAAGTCCATTCTAGATTCCATTTTGTGGTCAGACAATGGCACTGAAGAATGCTTAAATCAGTTTTTGTAGGGAATCTTTTCCTAGCCTCATTAAAATTTCGATTAGGTATTTAATCTCTAACAGCAAACAGATTACAATTATCAATCTTTACATTTTTTCTTTCAAAAGTGGGTAAAAGAAGGCTTTCTTAATACTTTATAATTCAGTAGCAAAGACAACTAGTAGTTAAGTATAGCGAAACTAAGGGAGTAATATTCTTCAAACAAAACAAGCCTCCTAAATGACACTTTGACTAGTCAAATACAAGTGGGACATTCAACAAAATAGTACATGTATTGATATTTCTGCCTCATCCCAAATTAATTGAGGTAACTTCCCCTACTAAGGCCAGCCTTCTTAACATTTGATATCCCTCTCCTTTCAATCATGAAACAAACATGGAAACATCTTCCTGAGAAACAGTGTTAGCACTTCCTAGAAAAATCCAGACAACTGGGCAAACAGCACCCTCTTCTGCTCCTGTAAGCACCATAATTCCCCTCAGATTTGCTAAATTGCTATTCCCCCTCTAAGCAGCTCAAGCCATTCCTTTTGCCTCTGGTTGCTCTTGTGTCTTCCCCAGATCCATATACAGATTTATTCCTTCCCTCATTCCTCATTCCTTAATCCTGGACTAAGTCTAGGAGGCCATAGGATCTCTTTCCATGAGACAATCCAGGCAATGTAAGAAGAAGCACAACCTTGCTGGTTTGGGATAGCTCTACAACGGATGGAGGTGTCCAAAGATAATCTAGTCCATCATACCAACAGAAAATTTGTTCACATTTTTATAATATAAAGTTCTGCTATTTACAAGAGGTGAGCACAGCTATCATAGATAGGACATTTTGGAGGGCTTTCATTCATAGGATCATTGTAAGTTGGAGATGACTTGATAGCACATAACAACAAACAAGCTTTGTTTAATTACATTCAATACTCCTTTAAACCCTTACATTTAGCTTTATCTTGTTCTTCCACACTGGGGATTTGAGGTTGGAGTGGAAAACCAAAAATTTCCAGAAATGTTTCTGAAGGACAGGGAGAGCAGTAGACCTTTGAGGGAGCTAATGATAATCTCCTGGGTTGCTAGTGGATAAGAAAAAGATAAATATATATTTAGTATTGTATACTGCCAAATGTCTGCTGTTTGAGTATCTGCTTTTTAATGAATTAGAGAATTCAAGTTACATTAAAAATGAAGTTATAACTTGAATTTTGATGCACCTTTTTGAGATCCAGAAGGAACTGTGCAATAGAGTTTGTTTATGAAAAAAGACCATGTTTGATATTTTTACTTCCCTAATATTGTAACACAATGGACTCAAGATATTATTTATTTATTTAATGGATTTATATGCCACTACAATAGACCATATCTGGGCTCTCTGCATAGCTCACAATATAAAAACAGCACAACATTCTAAAATTAAAACATTAAATCAACATATTCAAAACATATTAATATATGTTACATATTAACAAGATAGTCCAAAATATGATGTATATCAAAATGAAAATAGACTATAAACATTAAATAAAACAATTTAAACTAAAACTGACTAAAACCAAAGATGGGGTCAATTTTAAAACCAGATTAAAATCCATTGTTAAAATAACCAGAGAAAAGGTGACTCTTTCCCTGGTGCTGAAATGCTAGCAGCATCGGTGCCAGGTGCCCCTCTCTCGGGTGTCTATTCCAGAGGTGGGGCACAGCTGCCAAGAAGGCCCTTCTTCTAGCCAGCATCCCCCTTATCTCCCTAGCGGATGGTTTCTGGCTCAATCTTAACAGATACCTACAAGTATGCTCAGCCCTTTCATTTTAAGTTGGCCTGCACTGACTTATGCGATGACTATTAAGTAAAGAAATGTTAACATCTTGTTACCTAATGTCCTCTGCAGACACATATATACATGATTAGAGATACACCTTTCTAAGGAATGTTTGACTGACCTTTGGTCATGCAGCAACTTGGCAAAGGTGACCCAAGGATGAACACACACACACACACACACCCCTTGGAAAACATGGTAATTTTACTGAACTCAGAAGAATCAAATATATACACAGTAATTGCTCTAGGGTATTAGTTAGCAATACACAACAGATTCAATTAGTTCTTATATAACAAACCAACATGTTATGACACAATAAAGAAATGTAAACAGCATAGGTATCCAGGCAAAGGCAAAGTAAATAGCATAGATATTCATGCATTCAATTCAAGTTGGGTGGGGAGAGAGGGAATAAGCTCAAAGGCCACTTCAAAGGCTGAACTGAATGCTGTGGTACAGAGAAGGGTAGTCCATGGAACATCAGGATTGGATTCTGCTGCCGAAGGAGCTACAGAGATTGGGGCGTAGCAAACTGGGACTCTAACTTTGGTGCGAGTGAAAGAGAAAATGGTGCAGGGTGAGATTGTAAGAATGAAGAGGAGAAAAGTGCTTAGAAAGGTTTATCTTCTGCAGTCACTTGGCAAAAGGAAAGGGCAACACTTGGGTTATTAATATTCAGTGCACATAAACAATCCCATTTCCAATGTTTATGCACTCTTTGTTTCTTCTTTCCTCTTCCAGATGTTTATTGTGCAGAATTGGACTCCACAACACATTGTACATCTCCATATTCTCTGGAGAATTAATTTTAATCACAATGGAGAGGAAAAGGAACCAAGGAGGAAATTCCACAAAAAAGAAAGCCTGGCCACAAACCTTCCCACTAGATGACCAGAGAAAAGATGAACCAATGGAAGTATCCAAGCTTTCATTCCAAAAATACATTAAATCACTATCACTTGTAGATGAATGCTACAATTTGTAAAGAAAAGACCTCTAGATAATAGAATGGGGCTGACATGGTGCTAGGATACAGGGAAACTCTTGAGGCTTAGGTGAATGGAAACCTTGAAAGTATCTGAAAGCAAGTTCCTGCAGGTAAACTGGTAACCTAGGCAGCCAGAGCAGATACTCTGGGAAAGGCAGTTCAGACAGAGGTTCTATAGCCTAGATGAATTAAGCACAGCAACAGCCAACAAATATAACCAGCTCTAACTGGGCTTATCATGCAATCAAAGTGGTTTCAGCAGCAGAGTGTTTTTTTACAGGACTGGTTTCAATAGCATAGTCCAGGATTTTAGAGCATTTAAACACAGTACAAAGGGACTAAAGGTTCTGATCCTTTGAATAAAACAGAGAAGAAAAGAAACTCCTGGTCAAAGTCAAAATTTATTTTGGACAACCATATAAAGGGTCAAGATGACTTGCAGCTAAATTCATCAGGGGTTTCAAAGGGACTAGCTTGGCATTGGTGAAATCAAATAATAGTGTCATGTTGAAATTGTGAAGTTTAAGGTTGAAAAAATCCCATCCATTTACTGAACTTACAGTAATTATTCCATGCCTAGAAGGAAGTCATTGTGTGCCTGGTAATTAATAACTGAGCTACTAATAATTGGGCACTTAATTCAGTGCTGCTTGATTAGCTGGTGTTGCCCAACATGGATTTGGCTATGTGACTAAGTCTTAACATCCTCATGGCAAAATTGTTTGCTAGTTGCTTTGCCATTCAGCCAGTCCTCTGAGTTCTCTAGGCCTTGACTTACTTTGTGCTTAGCTAAATTTCTTCAAATCACCATTCTAAGTGCTGGGATAGGATGTATTCACATGCTATGTGCTAAGCAGCTTATTTATATATCATTTTTGTACCCCATTCCTCCTTCAAGCAAGTCAGGAATTATTAACCTGTATTCTCTCAACTATATTATGGAGATGCATTAGACTGAAATTGATTGATTGACTTGTCAGGGCCTCTACAGTGCAAAATTAAGAAATAAAAGATAAAGAAAGAACATTATTCTAGCTCCTTTGTAAATTCACCTGCTCCCTTTCTGTGTAACTTACTATGCTCATAGAAAATTTCATGATTTGTGATCATAATAAATTCATACATTCATGCATTCATTAAAATCTTATTAGTCAAATACAACAGCTTACTGAATAGGCAACACCAGCCATAACCATTGCATGGGACATTGTAGGTCCTATATAACCTAACCTGTTTTTTCTTCTGTGGCAAAACCAGCAATTCTGATGTGAAGTCTTCAGTGAAAACAAATCCCTTGTAAGGTACCTAGAGAATCAATATAGATATTCATGCAGGGTTGCTTTTTTGTTAATACTGTTATACATGAATTTCTAGCTAGTATGTCTGAGTTACAGTGCAATCTTACACAAATTTACTAAAAATAAAGTCCCAGGGTTCTATGTTTACCCATAATAGTGGGTCTAGAATTTCAGCCTCAAGGAATCAAGGGGGTTAGTATTTTAGAAGTATAGAGGTATATTGCTTAATAAATTGCCAGTGATATGTAAATAATACTTATTGATGATTCAGTTTTAACTGTGCTTTGAATATAGCATGTAACAATCAAATCTTCTACACATCATATAGAAAAACAGCAATGCCACCAAATGTTCAACAGAATTAGTCAGCCTGTTTTGAACAATGAGCATTTTGTAATACTGATCTTTGTATTAAATCTTGATTGATGTATTATGACTGTACTGTTAATGTCAGAATTGATTGCAAACTTCAGATCACATGCAGCCTACTTCTAAACAATGCCATTTCTGCATATGCACTGAGTTGTTAGGTTTACTTCTTGAATGTCCGTCATTGCTTCCCACCTTGCCACTATTTCTCTGGTTCCACAAAGAGAAGAAGGTCTCCGCAGGTCCATTTTCATCTCTCCTCCATATACCATTGATTAGCAAGTCAATTTCATACCACACCAACAGGTCATGTGAAAACAACCAACCAGGATACAATCTGGTGACCCCTGACGTCATACCACATTGTGCATCTCCAAAATACAGCCCCAGAGATGCGCTTTGATATAGCATATACAACTCTCATCCAATCTAGTACAGGTAAATTCACTAATTGCTAGAAAAAGATACTATTCTGTTACTACTGTATTAATCCTCAAACTAGATATTCATTTTGGACTTATTGCATTACAGTATTTTAACAGTGGGTGGCAGACTTTGCACTTGATATTAGAGGCAATTCTGTTTAATTATTCATGTATCTAAATTCACCTTCCTTATTTCAACTTTAGTTTCCTCATACAGTTAAAATATATTGTCAAGACAGAACCTACCAGATATGATGCCATCTCAGTTGTTTTGGAAACATTTTTTTCTTGATCTAGAGGCTGACTTTCAAAAATAAAGGATTCTAGAGGACAGATCATGATAGGAAATACTTACATTAAAACACTATGCTACAATGAAACATATTAAGAAGTCACTTGTTTTAATTTATTATTTCCACTTAGCGTTGTATCCCTGAAAATATCACACAAATCTTACTTGGTTTTCATGCACATTATTAGTTACTTATATTTTTCTGTTCTTGGCTTAATATAATAGCAAAAGAATGACAACTCTTTCCCAGCACATTCATTTCTGGGATCAATTTTCTTTCCACACATGATACTACAATGAACCAATGTAGACATAACACAGGTTCCCTGAAATGAAGATTTGCAAATTGGGAACTGCATTTCCTGCTCCAGAAATTCAACATCTTTTTGTTTGATCATGGTTTACATGATCAAGTACATCCATCATGACAAGAACAAACCAAGATTTGCAAACCCATTTTCAACCTTGGACATCATGGGTTTGTATTAACAGTAATTAGTACTGCTGTGTGTGTAACACTAAATTTAGGATTAAAACTTACCAGAAAATAGACAGAAGATTTTGTATGAAAGGTGAGAAATTGACCATGGGATTCTGAGGTTGGCTCCCACTCTGCAAACAATAGCTTGCTAAGAACATTACCTTAATGCCAGTTCCATGTATGGGGGTATTTGTTTTTGTGAACTATAAGACATTTCAGGAAGCACTGAGATCTGTTCAGAGGTGGGGGACCTGTCCATTAACCCAAAGAAGGTCTAAATAGGATTTTTCTTCACTTTGTTTTCTCTTAAAAGCTGTCAAAAGGTAAGCTGTACAGGGAAAGCAAAGAAGGGATCTTTGCTTGAACAAAGATGGTGGTCAAATTAATGCCTGCTTCATGGTGAGATCCTATTTTCTTTTTTGCCCTGTCTTTGGAGCACTGCACATTTTCCACTTTTCCTTCAAGACTTCAGCTGTTTGGGGAAGTTTTGCAGATGTGATATATAGGATGATTTGCCATACCAGCAGGCAAAAAAGGCTTCACTTCCTGTGCATACTTAACTGTGAGTCCCAATTAATATACGTGGCTGAGTGAAAAAGGACACTATCAGACCACATGGAGACCAAAGACTGCAAAAAAATAGAGATTCTGTTAATATCCTTACATATGTTACCTGTTTCTGGGACTGTAGCTGCATCAGTGTAGGTCTTCAATAAGCCCAGTGCCTTGCTGTGAGACATGATATAAAGATCACCTTTGAAAGCCAGTAGAATATCACCAAAACTATTCAGGAAACAGGCTGTGCTCAAAGTGTTATCAAGGGTGATCTCAGCCACCAAATTCTTCTTAATATCCCAAAGCTTTATCACAGAATCTGAACTAGCAAGTAAAGGGAACATTATGGGAAATGGTCATAAATTCACTCTTATGCTGAAGCTTACTGCCAATAATCACATTATCATAGCGGTAAAAATATACAAATTTTCTGTGAACCATAGCTTGGTGAAGACTTTCATCCTTTCATCAGGAACCCAATAAAAAAATCTAAACAAAATTGTTGGCTTTGTTTTAATAAGTGAAATCATGCATTTGTGAAATGGAACAAAAGATTAAAGGATCAACAGCAAGTCAAATACTGTGCAAGCAGTTGAGGGAGTTAAACACAGTTCATTTCTGTAAATAGAGTTCCGAGAAGAAAAAAGACAATACTGTGTTTTTTCCACTGCTCTGACTGCCTACAGCAGTAGCACTTCTGTGAATGTCTAAGAAGTAAGTTGTGAATGTCCAAGTGATATGCACACTCACAATGAAACTACATTATTCAGTATCCTGCCTCTATCCTTCCTGGACAAAGCTCATTAATATCTTAGGATTCAGAATTGGCTACATCTAAGATATCCTTCATTAATTGGAGCCAGAAACAGTAGTTTTCACAGCTCTTTTCGGATACTATGCAACAATTTTTCACCTCAAAAATTACATTTTGTGTAATTACTGTTCTGTCTTCATACATGCATACTGCATTGAATATCCGCAGACTGGATATGACACATAAGTGGTGGTGTGCACCACAGATGTTAACCCTGTACTAAGATGGAAGTAAAAGTTGTGCTACCAAGAAAGACCAGTGGAGGCAGTGTTATTTTTTGTATGCACAAGCCAGAGCTGTAACCCTGTATTATGCATTATAAATTGAAACCAACCACTTCCTGAGGGAATATCAGTGAGGGGGTGCTGCATCCTGATTAGTTCAGAGGCACATGAAGGAATCTGACATAAGTTGTGGTATGTAGCATAGATGGTTGCTTTCAGACATGGATTTTACTGTGCAATCACCCTGAAATTTAATGGGAGACAAGACATTGTCATCTTTCATTTGTTATTCCCATGAGAGAAGCATCCTATGTGGGCTTATGGCCAGACAGTTTTTTTAAACCTAAGCAGGCCTACTTGTTATTCTTTTACCTTTACATTGTATTTTTGCAGCTCCATTGTATCTTAACTTCCTTTTTCTAAGTTTTCCATCTCTGCTTTTAAGACTAATTACAGGGGCAGAAAATGCTTTTAGTGGCTCTTTGAAGCTTTTTCATCTTTTTTATATATGTATGACTGAAACTTTACAGACTATATTTTACAGAGGTGCATTATACAAGGTGACTACTATTGACCCCAACTAGAAATGTGTGTCTAATATAGCCAATAAGTACATTTCTTCCTTTATACCTACATTATATTATCAGCTTCTAGTCACAGACTAAATTCTGAAGATCTCTTTCCTGTTAGTTTGAAATTTGGTATTTACAAATGCATAACTTTACATTTGATGGTGCTATGTAAAATGCTTCCTTTTCTGTTATTGTAATTTATGGTGATCATCTAGTGCATGTTGAGGAACTTCACAACATGCCTGTTTAACTGTGCCTCTCAACCAAGCTCACATTTCATCAGCCACCATCTCCTTCCTTCTATAAAGTCACTACTACAAATATTGAATGAAACAGCAATTTGAGAAGCTCCATAGTGTATCAACCAAAAAACAAAAGCTGCATTTTATTGTATTGTGGTGGCATAATAATATAAACTTCATATTAATCACTACAATTGCTTAATCCTTATCTTAAGCAAGTTGTTCTCAGAGGGTTTTTTTTAGCAAGTCAAGATTTTTAACAAGACAAACAGGATTTCTTAAGGTCTTTTGCACACTTTTATGAAGTTGAATTATATTGCATATATTTTGCATTTCACTAGACAGGATCTTTTGGAAATTATGCATCAGCCATTTAGTAGCAGCACTAGGTTTCAGAGGGCCCTGGGGGAGATGCCTTCTAGGGACTCCCATGGTGAGTAATAACCACATCAGCATCAGCACAGCTAGCAGCAGCATGGAATGGGCATAAGTGTTCAGTCCAACACTGAAAAGAACAGCATGAAGTTAAGCAGTTGCAGGTTCAGAGGTATTCTTGAGAAGATAAGAAGGCAGCTGCAGCTCCCTTGCCCAGCTTCTCTTCTTTAAAAAAGTTTTAAGTTCAAAGAAACAAAGACAGTGATATCAGTAGTGAGTGACTCTGATGTTTATCCCACCATGATGCTGGGCCTGTGGCTATAAGGTGATGGGTTTCATGGTATGGTATCTCCTCCCTGTCTGTCATTACAATAAAAACAAATTACAATAATATCTGCACCTACCCACAACTTAAAAAGATAGAAAGAGTCTTGCAAGAGTCAACTGCTACTACAGGGCCATTGTGGTAGTTTTCCAAGCAAGAAGTATCATTTTCTTCACTTGCTCCTTAAAGACAGAAAATGAATACAATTTATTTGAACTCAGGTTCTGAATACACCCTTGATGTTCTGGAGATAATAGAGACACTGTTTGCCATTTTCCTTAGATAACATACCATTTTCATTCCTTCTATATGCCTAGTATCTTGGCAATATACTAGAAAATAGAGTTGTTCATTTTAAAAGGTTTAATTCGTATGATATACGCTCCATTAATACAATATTAGCTTCCAGAATCAAAATATTTTTGACTTTAAACCTTTGGGTTTTATATGCAGAAATATTTACTTTTTATTCTCTCTAGTGCAGTGGGCAATGATCACTGTTTTCCAAGAAGGAGTCATGTTAATCCCAGGAACAGCTGCCAAGCCATCTTTTTATGGGGTGTGTCTGCTTTCCCCAACCCTCCAACAACCCTGGGCAAGTAGGATGGATCTTTTTGTTACTACTGGGAGAGGCTTTGCTCTACTCAGTGCTACAAAATCAGCATAGGTCTGCTTTTCACTACTGCATATCCATGCATCTAATTTCCTCTCCACTGGCCTGCACAGGGTATCACTGCAGCTAGTCAAGAGCCTCTTTGCCTCTTGGTCTCTGCTCCACCAACTGCTAACTGGCTGATTGCTCCTGCATTCTCCTTCCCACAACCTCAGCCATCTTATAACCGACAAGCAGCAACTTTTCTGACCCTTCACTCCTGATACCCCACTGCTAAAGCCATTGAGGCAATGCTAGAGCTTCTATTGAGAGTGAGCAACTACAGCAAAGTGTGTGCCTGTGTATGATATAGAGAGCTAGCAAGCCTCCACCTGAAGCGACTGGAAGCCACCAGTGGCCCTCAGGTTCTGTAAATGCCATTCCACAGCAATGCTTTAAAGATTTTGGAAATTGTTTGTATACCATACCACATTGGCTCTTTATGTATCTCCTTTAGTTCCTTGGGGGAAGGGTTGGATAAAGCATCGAATAAAACAATGGAGATTTTGGGAAAAGAATTTAACACATTAGGCAGACTCCAAAAACATACGCCGATCCTATGACATTCAGCATTAAAGCTGTTTAGTCGCTAGGCGCTTAATGTTCTGGAGAACAAAGGAGGCCGGTTTAGGTGTGCAAGGTCCAATTTAATGCACCTCCTGAGTGCAGACCTTCCCACCAAATTCATCAGGCTTGTACACAATCATGCAAATACTATGAGCAAGCAGGGTGATACACTCCGTGGGAAGCTTTAAATGCCCTGTGACAGCTATAGGCTAGGATTCCTTCTTTCAGGAAAGCATTCCAGCATGCATTTTGATATGAATTACAGACTGTCTAACATTGCACAAACAATGCTGAACACATTTTAATCACATGTTAAACAGGATTCAGCGATATTGAACCAATGCCTTCTTTAAAATTATACTTGTGCAATACCAACCAAATACATGTTCAACTAAAGCAATAAAATAAAATTACTGATACCTTCTTAGAAAGCCTGCTTGATTTGTAAAATAACCATGACATAAACAAACCATAGAGGTTTATGCCACAGCACCTGCCTGTGTGAATGCCAAGCATTATTTAAACAATTGCTTGCCTAAATGAGGCTTTTGGCAGAATCCAAACTTAGGTGGCATGGCTTGTCAAATAACCCATGGCTTCTCGTTGGGTTAGCTGAGGTCTATTTCCCCTTCAAACAAGCAATGCTGACTAGATTTGGATGACACAACATGCCATGGCAAGATGAATAATTAGACAAAAACCTTTCACCACACGCTTCAGCTTAAACAAGCCACTGTGGTTTGTTTAAGCTGTCATGACCATCCAAACTGGCCAACATATAATCATGAAGATTAGAACAGAACAGTAATCAGAATAGTGCTGACAACTGTTTATTTCACATCATTTCCATTTTAAGTCCATTTCCACATAACCTACTTACAGTAAACAGGCAATAAAGTTCTCTACTACATGAACATTTTATACTGTTCAATTTTACATTAAACAAATCCAGCCAAAATACAAAGAACCAAAATCAGATATAGGAATACCAAAAGTTCCTGGGGGAGGGGGCAGTTTTATTAGCAGCTGAAGGGTGCTAATCTAATCCCTGCCTTCTTCAGTTGCCAAAGTCTGCCTCCTCAGCATCACTTTTGTTTCAGATGGATTAATTTCTAGTTTCAGAGTGTAAACGTGGGAAAAGAAAAATCAGGCAATACAATGAAGGAAAGCAAGATGCAAATATATCTCAGTTTCAGTCACCCTCAGTAATTGCAGCTCATCCTGACCTCGACTGCCTCTGTCCTGAGCAGTAGCAAAGGGGAGAAAGCTTCAGAGGGCAGTTATCAGCCGTGTTTGCCTGGCAGCTACTTAGCAAGGGCATGCCACTCTTGGCAAGTGGCTCTTTAGCCATTTGGCTTATCCCAGGGGTTGTCATATTGTCCAGCTTCATTTAGATGACTACCTCTGGGACAGCTAAGAAAATCTACAGAAAGATTAATGCTGCCAAAGTGATTTATAAACCACACCAAATAACCCATGGGGGGTTCACAAGACATGGCGACCTCCATGGCTTACAAGCTGGGAGGACTGTCATGTCATATGAACAATCTTACTTCTAATTATAAGTAGGAATCACATAAATTATCCTACTGTTTCAACTACTTTATGCTTTCTCTCAAAATGGAACTAAAATGCCACTGGAAAATGAATGGCACTAGAAAAACATGTATTTCTTGCACTATGAATTTACTAGTGGCAACTAATTTGGCTATATCCTGAAGTAAAGAGCTTTTTAAATGTTCGTAACAGTGAAAATATCGGAAGTAAATTGTATTATTCTACTTGATTGTGGGAACTGAATAAGCACCTTCCCACCACCTGCACACCTACTTAAACTACATACTGTGTAGAACAAATGCCACCTACACAGAAAATTGTGCCAGTACGATGTGTTAAAAAGAATGAATTAGTTGCTGCAAGGAGTTGAGGAGGAGGTTCTTAACTCAGCAGAAAAGCTACACCTCCAAAATATGGGTCAAGCATGACTGGTTGCTAAGGGTTGTTGGGATATTGAAGCTACTTGCATCTCACCTTTTCAATATATATCACCAAACCAGAAATTGAAAAATACTATCAGTATTTAGTGTCACTTAAGATATTATTCAAAATTAAATGAAAACAGAAAAATTGAACTTATTCCAAAAAAAGCAAAACAGGGACTGCTTGTGTTTCATATATCCATTTTTTATTTACTTTGGCTTTTTATCCTACCTCTTAGAAACTCTCAAACAGATTCATAATATAGCAACATACTGCAAAGCACAAAACATAGGATTGCCTGTTCTCATCAAGAGATAATGCTTATGCATTTTGTGGCTCTAGACCATAGATCCTCAAACTACAGCCCGGGGGCCAGATGCGGTCTGCCACGCCCATTTGCACTCGCTGCGCCCGCTGCCACCCACCTTGCCTCGTGCGCGGGGAGACAGCGATATGCTCGCTCGGAGAAAACGGTCTCCATGTGAGCAAGCTGCTGCTTCATGCACCCGCCCCGTGTGCCCGCACCTCGCCTCCTCTTGCCACGAATGCCTGCCCCCGCACCAGCCCATGTGCCCTGTCGGCACCACCTTTCTGGCCTGCACCCAGTACCAGCAGCTTTCAACTGGCTCCCTGGTGGAAAAGTTTGAGGACCCCCGCTCTAGACATAACCACTGAGTTCCATTTGTTCAGCCTGAAAGATACTGAATGGACAAGATACTTGAAATAAATAAGGCTTACCAGATGATAGTCAGATCCATGGCTGCTCAGATTTGACAAAATAGGACTAAGTATTTGGATCACAGAGGTTATAAATGCCTCTTTGAGTGGTCAGATGTTGATGCAGTTGTGAGATCCCTCTTCTTGATTATCTAATTATTGCTTGCTTCTTAATTTAATGCAAGATTCTTGAATGGTTACTTTTATGACATATGTGTGTTTCCCAGATGTGCTCAACCCTCTGTAACTTATATCAAGATGCGACAGCTAGCAACAGGGGCAAGTGACAAACAGGAAGTGGTGGGGGAGACAAAAGTCTGGAAGTGCTTTGCTGGCAAGTGTTCTTATTGTGGGAATCAGTATATTTCCTTTACAGCATTGTGAAACAGTCTTCAAAAAAACAAAGTTGCTTGTTAGCTAGCAATGTAAGCACCAAAGTGGAACAGACTTCAGTGATTCTTGGCTAAATATTCAAGGTGTACTTGTGCAAAAGAAAAGAAAATCATAAGTTATCATAAAATTAATTTTATTTTGCAAGCTGATAAGTGTGGGAGGGGGGAATTTCCTTTTGTAATCTGCAATCCCTGCAGACCAATTACAAAACAGTACTGATGCAGGGATCAAAGCAGTAAGTAGTTCTCCCCACAAAAGCACCTGGGATACATGATAAAGCCAGCAGAAGGACTGAGCCATGACATGTTAGATCATCTTTTGGGTTTTCCATGGCTTGTTAAGAGAATAACCACCTCATTGTTGATTATTTGTAGGATAGCTTAAAATGACGTGCAAACATTCCTGTGTTTTAATTTTTATTTTATTGACTGATATATTGTGCTAGAATCTACATAATGCACACTAGCCATTCTATTGCTACAGGGCTATGTTTATATTCTCCAATGTGTACATATACTGAATTATAATCAACAGTGATCTTACCATTATTATTCACATCTTTTTCAGAAAGTGTTACTTTATCATCTTCTTTTAGAATATTTAAAATATCCACAGTTCCAGAAGTTAGGCCAACAAATAATGAACTGTTCTAAAACATAAATATAATTTTAGTTTGGTATTCATCAAACTTAGGTCTTTAGTCTAGAATCAAGGAAAGAACACAGTTTAGATTACCACCTCAATCTGGAGGCTCTAATCCTGCAAAGAGAAGAGAAACTGCCTTGAGGATGGCTGGCCAGCCTGCCCACCAATTACAAACCTTTCCCAGCCAGAGTGAATGCCCAGCAGGACTGTATCTGCTGGCCTGAAATGGGGCGGTGACATCCCAAAAGCAATGACCTTGAAGGGGATGAGGCTTAAGGAGACTGTCCCTTTGGGAGACCCACATATGGGGGAGGCAAGGGCAAGGGCCTCCCCTATAACCTCGTTGACACTCTGTGTCTTGTGGGAAAGAGTGTCTTCCTCCTCTTTACAGGCTTGTCCATGTGCAGAAGAGATAAGGGATGAAACCAAGTGTGGGGTCTTGATGGAAGGTCAATTAGTGTAGTGACAGATACAGAGAAATATGGTGTTGAATGAAGAGGCAGCCACATAAGGGGAACACAGCCCAGGAAGTTAATGACTGAGCTGTGTTCTGGTCCTCTTCCCAACCACAGGTTTGGTGGTTGCCCTGTCAGCTTGCTCTCAGGTTTTGGATGAGGCTCTTAAATGCCAGATCAGTGCACAGTAAGACCTCTATCATCCATGATTAATAGTGGATGAGGTGGCCAGTCTGGCCGGTATAACTGAGACCTGAGTGGTGAACGGGGGGGGGGGGGGGGGGGGTTCCCCCCCCCGACGTCCCCCCCGGGGGTAGTGTTCCGATCGAGCGGGAGGCGGCAGGCGGGGGGGGGGGGGGGGGGGGGGGGGGGGGGGGGGGCGGGTTATCCTCTCCCAGATCTGCCCACCAGGGCAATTGGTACAACAACAAGGAAGGCTGGAGGCTGGGGGTGGTGGTGGTGGTATAATTTAGTGTTTACATCTTGTGTTGAACCAGTGGTACAGACTGAGGATTCTATTCATGTACCATCCACCCAGCAATCCAACAGTCTCCCTATCTGAGCTATCTTCACCACAATGTTAAGGTCCTCCAGGCTGTTTGGTCCCAGGGAATGCTAACATCCATGCTGAGGGTACCTTAACTGGGCTGGCTCTGGTCATGAACTCCATGACCACCATGGGACTGTCTCAATGTGCTATCAGCTTAATACAAGGAGAAGGGCACACTCTGGATTTGTTTTCAGCTGGGCATTGGTATAGTGCAATGAAGGCGGGAAACACTGAATCAGTCACTTTGTCATGATGAGTTCACTGCTGGCTGAGATTTAAATTAATGACTTTTCCCCTCTGCAGAGATGATCTGCCCATTGAGATGGTCCATCCTGGAGGCTGATGAATCCAGATGGTTTCCAGAGGGCTCTGGAGGATATTCTGTCTCTTATGGTTGGTGGTCCTGTCGATCTCTGAGATACAGAGATGACCTGTGTAGTTGATATGATCACTCCTGAATGTCTTCTCTGCAGTAGAGCTTGTATGGCTCAGAACATTTAATATCATTCTGCCTCGCTTGCATTGACTGCCTCATGTTTCAGCAGGGCATTTAATTAGTTTACTGGGGCTTTATCTATGTAAACAGGTCTTATGGTTTAATTTGTATAAGCTTATTGTAACTTTTTTTCTCTGTGTTTTTAATTTGGTTTAAAATTTTCATATGGTGATATTTTTATTATGTTTTAACATTGTATTTTATATTGTATTTTTATATGCTGTTGTAAACCACTCAGAGAGCTTTAGGTTTTTGGGTAATATAAAAAATTAAAGAGAAGAGAACATTATTTCATGTCTATCTTATCAAGCAACAAGCCATTTTTAATCAAATCCTTCTCCTTTTAATACTTCTGCAACCACTACAGTGATCATTCCTGCCACAAACAATTAGATACATACAATTGTTTGTTACATAAAATATGGATCTCTAACACAGTACTCTTAGTCCATACTGTTAGGGGTAGTATGGACCATTGTAGTGGTTCTTTATCTTCAGTTTTAAGTCATGAGAATGCTTTAGCAAGTCACTACTATATCTAAAAGTTTAACGCGGCACAGTCCAGTTAAGAGTAAAAACTGACTACTGCTATCTGCCCTACAGGACTTAGTTTAGGAATGTAGATAAATCACACAGAGCTGCTTTAGAGAAAATGTATCTAGATAACAGTGAATTATAGATCATAAGTCATTTCAGCATGAGCCATATTGCCATACCCCACAATATTATTCAGTTGTTTTTATGACTCACAAGCCTTGTAAAAACAAGGGTATCATTGGACGTATCAACTTGGAAGACCAGCTCCAAAGCAGGCAAGCTTCTGAAGTGCATCAATTTGCCATTTGGTCTCTGGCACATGATTATCAGTTGCTGATGGGCCGTATCATGTCTTAAATGGATTACCTAAACCAATTAAGTTTATTTTTAGTAATGAACAGGCATATTCTTGATAAACCAAGATTTTTTAAAAATCAACTCAATGGACCATTAAAATAACATTTTTTACAAAGATTTTGGACATAAGGTCTTAGTTAATTGTGACAACAAGAACCATTTCAAATTAACTTCTAATACTATCAAGCTCTTATAAGGCAAATCTGAAATTCAGGCAATGCAATATTTGTTTATCTATGATTATTATTGCCAGACTAGATTACATATTGTATATTATTCAGAAACATTATGAATTAGATATGCAGAAGCCTTATTTTTAAAAAAGTGAATCCACAGTTGTAAAACTGGCTTCTTCTGGACATTTACAGTCCTGTAAGTGACCTTAGTTGCCTGTCCCAAAGATGGCAATGCACATTCAGCCTAGATCTATTGTGGCTTACAGGTATATTCACTCCCCATCTTAACTTTTTCACATTTTGTTGTGCTACAAGCTAAACTGGGTTTAATTAGCATTGTTACCACTTGATGCACACAAGATACTCCACTCTTTGATACGCCTGACTTTGAAGATGCAAAGCATTTTATTGTGGTAGAAAAGTTAATACAACAGAAACGAACTGGTACTTGTTTGCTGCATATATATATTTATCCCAGAGTCAATACTTGGTAGAACCACCTTTGGCAGCAAGTGCAGCTACAACCCTTCTTAGGTAAATCTCTATATGCTTTGTGCATCAGGATCCTCAAATGTTCGCTCATTTTTCCTAGAAAAACTGCTCCAGCTGTGTCAGATTATGTAGAGAACAGATTGGATAGGGAGAACAGGTGAACAGCAACTTACAAGCCTTGCCACAGATTCTCAATAGAATTGGGGTCTGGGATTTGAGTGGGCAATTCTAAAATGTTTGTGCTCCTGTTTTTAAGCTGTTTCAGTGCTACTTTGGCTGTGTGTTTGGGGTCATTGTTCTAAACCTCCACTGAAACAAGTCCCCCCACCACCAATTTGTTTTGATTGATCATGATCTCCCATTCCCTGACTAGGAAAAGCATCCCCACAACGTGATGCTGTCACCACCATGCTTTCCTGTGGACATGTTGTTCACAGGACAATGAGCACTGTTGTCAAAACCACACAGAGCATTTTGCAGCAAGGGCTAAAACTTTAATTTTGGTCTCATCAGACTAAAGGATCATTTTCTACATGTTTGCTTTGTTTCCCAGATGCCTTACTGCAAACGGGCTTCAATATGGATTTGCTCCATCGATGGCTTTTTTTCTTATCTCTTTTTCATAAAACCCTGCTTTGTGGAACATCCAGGTGATATCCCATGGACAGTTTCTCACATCTCAGCAGTGAATATGCCTGCTCCATTGGCCTCTGGTTGCTTCTCTAATGCCTTCTTCTCTTGGTCAGCAAGTTTTGGTGGATGGTATTTTCTAGGCAAAGTTACAGTTAAGCCATGTTATGTGAATAAATTGAACAGTGCTCCATGGGATCCATAGTATCAGGGTTTTGTTTTGTTTTTAAATAATCCAACCCTGATTAGTGATTCTGCATAATTTTATCCTGGAATTGTCTTGACAGTTCCTTATAATTCATGATTCTATTAGTTAAGATATACCCTCCAACAAACTCTGGGGCCTTCCAGAGTATTTAATCGGAGGTCACGTTTCACTGGAATTTCACACAGGTAGACTTACAGCACTCTGGAGGCAGCTGGTTGCACCAGAGGTTATTCAGGCATGTCGTAACACAGAGAGTGTATATTTATGCAATCAGCAAGTGCCAGTTTGTTTTTGTTATTTTTTGAGCCACATATTCTGCACCTTCATAGTGTTGAGTATCTAGGGTACATCAAGTGGTAATCAGATCCATGTAAAACAACAAGATGTGGAAAAGTTAAAGGGGAGAATACCTCTGAAAGGCATTGTATACAGCAAGGAAGCAAAGAAAGATATAGAAGCACTAAATGAAAGCATTCTTTTGCCCCTATTTCTTTCCATACCACGTGGTTTATAGAATTCTTCAATTAGAGCCAAAGCTTAAGGTTCAGGATCCTACCTATTTGTTTTCTCCTCAAAGAAAAGCCTCAGGAATAATGTACTGTCTTGCTAACCAATCTTTACGTCTAGAACATCCTTGAGAAGTTCCCCACCCACACTTTTTTTAACTGACTTCTAAAAGCTTTTGCTACAGGGAAACATCTGATAGAAGTTAGTCCTAATTTTAGGGTTGGATTAACTGGCTCCCACGCCATTTTCCTTTTTCCCAAAAGAGCTGACTGAATAACAAAGTAATTACTAACATAATGTGGCCATTTCATGGTTGAAGCAGGCACCACCCTTCACAGAAATGAATAAAGGAACTTGTGCTAAGCAGTGGAACAACAAGTGCTTATCAAAGCTTCTGTGAACTACAAGTAAGTGCAGATGATGCTTTGCAAGTAATGTTAAGTCACTCTACAAATAAACCATCATGGCTTGGTTGGTCTCTGAACAATCCATTGTATTCCTAATGGGCAACTAAATTTGCAGTAACTTGTTCCCACTCCAATTTTTCCCTCACTCCTCCTGGAAGCTTTGGCATATATCCCAGGCACATTTATGGTAGAATTCCTCATTGTCTTGATCCCTGGTTAACACCCCTTTTGCAGTTGGTCCACTGGAGAAGCAGGTTACAAAGTTGAACCAACCTCAGATTATGAAACAAATTTAATTTTCAGAGCTTCTTCACAGATGCAGGAAAGTGTTTGTCAGCTTTAAAGAAAAAAGACAGAAATTTGCTCTAACATAAGGCCACTCTGTGATATGTAGCCCAGAATATTGATGCCTCTCTCTTATGTCATGGACAATTTTGTCCTTGATTTCAGGGCTTGTCTTGCTATTGAATGTAGAAATGAGGCCTGTTTCTCTCAAAACACAGCGTTCCCAATTAGAAATTTCAAATTCAGAATGTGAACTAGATGGAGAAGGAGAGTGGTTGGAATTAATGAGTGAAATTTGTCTGTCAGCTGCTGAGAACCAAGTCTCCTCAGGTTCAGGGGCAGCAGTGTAAAACAGAGAGGAAATGAAGAGGAGGGGTGCAACTGCATTAACCCAGTAAGCTGGTGTCAAGCCAAACAAGTGGTTCAATTAAATAACTTCCAGCATTCCTGCCAGCTGACCCTCAAGTAGCAGGAAACTCCCTGAAGGTGAATCAAGCCTTTTGAGAAAGGAAGGGAGAAATGGGTTTTGGAATCAACTCTCCACATGGTCAGGAGCTACTCCCACAAACCATAGGAGATGTGACTTTGATTGATACTAGTTAAGAACAATCTTCTTATGAAAATTCCTGTATCCCCATCTCAAAAAAACCCCACACAAAACACAAAAACAAAAACTTTCTAACTCAAATAAAGGACTATGCTTTAAAAGTGTTCTGTTTAGAGCTTCTGGAAAGGCGCAGGAGGGCAGGGGACACCTTCCCACAACACGAAGCAACTTTTTGTTTAAAGGCTGCTTCATGTTATATAGAAGGAAGAGCATTGGCCTGCACAACATGTTCTATCTTCCATCGGACAGCTGCTTTTGGCTACCTCCCTTTCCCCATATCAGATTGCAAACCCAGAGAGCAGGGAGGGAGAGGGAGACCTTTCAAGCCTTTGCTTGTAGGAACATATTTTCTAACTTTGTTTCTGGGACTTTCTGCTGTGCAAGTCTTCCTCTTCAGCTTTTAACCGAACACTCTCATATTCTTCCCTTCCACTTCAGCACTACCTTTGCTAACTATCAAATAAGCTCTTTACATGCTTTTAAACACTGCTTCACATTAATTCAAAATAAGCACACCCAGTTACTTCATGCTACACAGCAGTAAGAACATCAAACCAAAAAGAGCCTTTTCTCCACCAACAGGCAGTCGCTTTGTGCTGTTTCCCACTCCTCTTTTCATTTCCCTCCATTGCTACCTGCCACATCTTGATATGGGTTACAGAAGAGTGAGCAAGAATAGGAAATATACACAAACAGCAAACAAGTAAAGAGGAGAAAATGTACATATCTCAAGACAAACCAATACACAGGTGAAAATTGCAAAAAAATGTGAAGGCAGCTGTCTTTCGCTTGTTAGCTCACATTGGACCAAAAATAAATAATAATTTAAAAGTTCCAGACACATTTGGGACACTTTTTGGGGTCCTTCCTTTCTAATGTTTAGGGGCATGGGACAGACAATGCTGAAAGGGATGAGGACGAATAGCTGTGGTACACATGAATTAGCAAGAAGGGATAAAGGTATGCTGCTCTGCTGTTTTCTAGGTAATCCTGACAACCCATGATAAAATTGCCTTCCTGGTTTTGAACAATGTGAAAGCCACTGTTAGTCTGAGCAACCCTAAAACAAACCATGGGTTCTCAGGGTACCCTGAGAATAAGCCACCTTACAGAAACCATGCTGGATTTGCACAACCAAACTATGGTCCAAATCACAGTGGGGTATCATGTGATGCCCATGCTGACGTATCTCAAACTTTATAATAATCTGCTACTTAGAGAGCAGTATCAATGCAACATAAATGTGGCTTTATTCTGGTAGCAACCCTTTTTGACAAATCTATGTAACCAGCAGAAATGGTAACTTTCACATAGATGGCCCGGAAGGCCCCTTCTGACTCGCTCTGTTTCTATGTTTCTATGTTTATTACAATTCTGTCAGCTTTTTATTGGATTCAGTAGAATCAATAGAATCTGTAATACCTATTGCACTACCAAATCACATGAAAGTTGATCATCGTGAACATACCCTTTTAACTGATGCTCTACCACTGTACATAAAGATCTTTTAAAGGATAACTCATGTCTTAAAATTAATATATGCATTTTAATATACCATCAGTTAAGGAAAAGTTTTAAAAATTACTTTAAATGTACTTACTGGATCTTTATAGGATGTCATCTCATAATATACCAAATTCTGAATGGATGTATGAAGAAAGAGAATTCTTCCATCCTTTAAAACAAAGTAT